CCCAATGTGATTAAAAAATTATGCAAAGATCACATTTTAGCAGTAGTAGTAACGTTAAATGAAAATTTTCTGGAGCACACTATTACACATGCATTTTGTTAATGATGACCACATTTTTTTTAATTCGTCAAATCAAGTAAGGTTTATTTGTATAGCACATCACCACATGTGATATTTATATATATTCTTTATGTGGTGCTAAAAAGGCACAGAAATTAACAGTGACACATTTATTGACAGTTTGGCAGGTTTGAACAGAATATGATGACAAAAGAGGAAATAAATTTCATACAGTCATGCCAGGCGTATTTCTTCTTTCTTTATGATTATTATCATTAAATTTTCTGCACACTGTTCTTTACACAGATAATGTACTGAAAGTGTAGTTATTTTAAATTGCAGAAAACATTTAAAATCATGGTAATGACTTCTTTAATAACCACCACAATAGCTATCAAGCCAAAAATGACACATGAAATGAAATGTAAAGTCTCCTGTAGCAGTCATATCACCATTCACCATTCCTGAGTTACTATTTATCACATCATGTGCTGAAAGGGAACATGTACAGTATATACACACAGATACTCACGTGTGCATGTGTACATATATACATATACACATACGTGCACAAATAACACAAAGAACCAAGATAAACTAAGACAGAACAGACCCATAGCCGGTTTCAAAGGGACCCAAAAGCCTGTGAAAATAGCTAGGTCTTCAAGATTGATTAAACAATTTCCAAACAGGAGGGGGACTTTACAAAAGAGGGGAGACTCAGAGAAAGACCTCTCACCTTTAGATTTTAAGTGGAAGTGTGGACAAGACTGAAGGACAAGCAGAATTCAAGTGGAAAAGTGCAAAAGTATAAAAAAAAAATGAAAGAAGCAGCTTTAACACCAATCCAGACAACTGTAAGGGCTACAGATGCAAAATATGTTCAATTACAGAGAAAATCTTCCTGGACCCTCTCCCAGCTGTCACAGGGAAAAAGGTGGGATACACCCTGAACATTTTGGCTAACACAGTCAGATGACTTTGGACATTCACAAACACAGTTAACCTAACATGCATGTCTTTGGACTGTAGGAGGAAGCAGAGTACTCTGAGAGAACCCACACAGGCACAAATAAAATGCAAGCTGCACACAGAAAGGTCCAACTAGGTCGATTCAAACTCAGGAAATTCTTGCTGTAAAGCTGAAGCTTCTTTCTATGAACTTGGATGAAAATATATATACAGATGATGTATATTGTACATAGATGAAACACACACACACACACACACACACCTACAGACACACACACACACACACACACACAGACAGACAGACAACAGACTTAATATGTGCCTATATTACCAAGAGCTGTTTTCCTGTAGTCTGACTTCAGAATAGATAGCGCCATCCGCTGCTGCCTGTGATGGTCTACCTGTAAATGGAGAAACCAGTTAAGGTCCAGATTATGTGTGTTAGATGTTACATAAATTACAAAAACAATCAATCAAGTTTAACTAACATGAACAGAAAACTGAAATTGAATTGAATGCTAATTTAAAATACCTGCATTGTTCTGGGTTTCACCTTTGTTTTTGTGCATTACCAGGGCATACAGCAGATTATCATCTAAAAGATGACAGAAAACAGACAGTTTAATGATATTTCAGAAACTGAAATGCTGCAAAAGTGGAATCTAATTTGAAAAATATGTCCGTACATTTAAAAAAGGGACATTTTAAAGGTTTTTTGTCAGCATCTTTTAAAAACTTTTGAAGATTTGGGTTAGTTAATCAAAACTGACCATGGACTTCAGAGTAGAGCACTTCAAGCTGACATGCATTCTGGCTAACCTCAGAAACTGCAGAATCAACATGGGTTTGTTTGCACTGTGTTCTGTAAAATGTAGTAAAATAATTGAAAGAAAATAATGTTAAGAATATTGAATAAAAAAGTGAATAGAAATAATTGATAACTAAAAAACATGTATGCTCTTTAAGATGATTACTCAATAACTTTTATAAGGAAAATATATTATTTTGCATTTGAAACTGAAGGCAGAATCAGATTTTAATCAATTGAAAAGGCCTCACCCTTTGACTTTCAGATAAATCACGAGTAGGATAGCAATCAGTAAAATCCCACAAACAAATCCAATAATCATCTGCGCAGTAAATGAAGACTTTAAAGGCCTGGATACCGCTACAATAAAAAACAAATACATTTTATTTTTAAGTTTTATGTTCAGTTGTTTTCACAAAGTATGAATACTCACTACTATTAGTACATTAATGTGATTTAAAATGATCCATATTCACATAAAAACACCAAAAGTGTTGTTGCAGGGAGTATTTGCAAAAAGAAGGGCTGAAGAAGAGTTTTAAACAAACGTACCCTTTACTGACATCCAGCTCTGTGGTGACTGTTTTTCTGAATATTGACACTTGTAAAAGCCTTCATCTGATTTTGACACTGCAGGGATATTCAGCCTCCCTCTGGTGTCATTGCTGATGAGGTTATCATTTCGAAAGAAAAGCACAGAGGATTTTAAAGTTTTGTTCCTCAGTTTGCAGTGGAGCGTAACAGCTTCTCCCTCAGTAACTGGGTGGACCGGGCTCACAAGTATTATATTGCTTTCTGTAAAACAGTCAGACAATGTCACATCAGAATACGTACTAGAGGACGGCCCTGGTTACAAAAGACTTGTAGAAAATTCAGAGCATTGTCTGACAGATGTTAAAAGACCTCAGTTGCCTCACAAAATAGAGAGAGCTCTGGTCCATCCTGTAGAGTGGAGTTGTGCTTTTAACCCAGTCCAGTTTATTGTCAGTGTGTACTCCGAGGTATTTATTGTTCTCCACACTGTCTACACTGTCGACCCCCTGCATAAAACAGGGTTTACTGGTTTCCTGGTCCTCCTAAAGTCCACAGTCACTTCCTTGGTTTTTGTCACATTGAGCTGCAGATTATTCTGCTCCCACCACGAGACAAAGAGTGAACCACAGCCGGATACTCTGTCTCATCATCCCCACCGATGAATTCACCCTTCGCAGAGTTATCAGAAATCATCTGAAGATGGCAGGTCTCAGTGCAGTGGCTGAAGTCTGTGGTGTAAAGGTACCAGGACACAAGAGAAGCATCCATCTGCATTACTGTCAGCTTATCACCCAGGAGGGCTGGCCTGATGGTATTGAATGCACTGTAAAAGTCAAAAAGTGTGACCCTCACAGTGCTTGCTGGCTGGTCCAGATCGGCATAAACACAATTGAGAAGTTAGATGATGACATCTGCTGATGTCCGAAGTGGAGCTACTAAGATAAGTGAAGAGGTTCCTAATGTGGCCTGACTATAGATCGGAGCTGGTCGATGATGGAGGCACAGCCCTTGATGAGGCAGGGACTCGCCCCATCTGTCCAGTAGACTTCCCCAAGTGGAGTCTTACTATTTGTCTCTGAACCTGGTTGTGAGTGAAAGTGAAAGGTGGGGAGAGGTGTCTGTTCTTTCATACTAGATTATGGTGCAGTGAGGAGACGGGAGAGAGTTGCATGGCTGTGGGTTGCAGGCTGACTACAGCTAAGTGAGTAGAAGGGTGAGCATTAACTACAGTGTCGAATCTGTTGACGATTTGACACTGCTGAATGTAACTGACAAGACAGAGGAAGTAAATTGAACATCACATCACATGAAAAGAGGGACTGTCAGAGCAGAACAGGAAGTGGCTAACAGAGACCATAACAATGTACTAATATTGCAAAGAAATTTAAAAAAAACAACACTTAAACACAAGAAACCAAATACTACAGAAAACTTAAAATACTGTGTTGGAGACACAGGACCATGACAGGAACAGGAGACTACTAAAATAAAACAGGAAGTGACTAAACAAAGAAGCACCTAAGACAGGAATCTAAAGAGCTTGGAAAGGTTTTGGGTTAACCTCGGCCGATTGACAGGGACAGAGATTTAATAACAGATTTAATACAGGGAGGCAAGGAGAATTGAAACCAATGAAATTTGCAAAAGTCTAAAGACAAAATTGAGCAGATATCCATAAAGAACCAAACCAGAAATAAATAAAATTCAAAACTCAAAAACTCAGAACAATTAAACATAAAAGGTAAATACAAAAATTCAAAACTCAGGCAGAAAGATTGCGGCCTGTGGTAATGTAAGGTAACAGAAAGGTCTGATGACTTACTGGAGGCATGTTTTCACATTAATGACAAATTGAATAAAAAATAATAAGATAAAGGTGAGGAATGAGTATGTTGCATTTTTATATTTACAGAAACATAACTCTAACACTTTCAAAAGTATAATCTTATTGACTGAAAGGATGCTTACTGTGACACAATGTGGGCAGAACCTGCAGAGTCATACAGGAAAACAAACAAACAAACAAACAAAAAGAAAAAAAAAGAAAAAAGGATGTAAAAATACTTACTTTGCACTGTGTTGTTGACAGCATTGCTGAAGCCACCCAGTTTAGACTCACACCAGTACACGGCTGGTTTGGTTGTAGCATTTTTGATCGTGCAGGTGGATCCACTCATTGTTCCCCAGGCAGAACAGTTTGCAAGGTAGCCTGCTTCACTCAGCCTCATCACTCTCCACTCAGAAGGTTTCCCCTCACAGCGCAGTGAGACAGACTCTTCAGAGAAGTGCTGCACTCTGTCAGGAGTCACTTTGACAGTTGCAGTTGCTGAACTAGAATCTTAGAAACATGTAATGTGGGATCAAAACAGCCACTGAGATATTATGAAATTAACAGAAGCTGTATTGTTATGCATCATGGCAATGATATTACATTCACACTTACCTGCAGACCAAACAAATACAGGTTTGCTGTCCGAAGTGAAATGCTCTGGCTGTTGTCTTCCAGCTCTACATGCATATCCTGCCGTCTGTTTCTGTCCATGAACAATGTAGGAATTTTGTGCAGTTCCATTTTTACCACCTGGTAGCAGCTCAAAGTAGTAGCCCTTGCTTGAATTTTGAAAAAAGCCTGATACCAGTAGAACCTCCATTCTGCAGAGTGATTTCTAACACTGCAGTGTAGAGTCACTGATGCCCCAGGACTCAGCCATGATGAAGACACACTGAGATTAGGTTTGGGTTTATCTTTCAGAAGGAACACATGCATGTCCACGTAAGTAAAGCAAACAATACTCAGCAGTTCTTCAAGATATTTTTGTCATTTTCTTACACAATCTTTAGTAACTATGTTAGTTTTGTGTTCCTTGTCCGTAATACATTGTCAAAGAAACTGCTCAAGTAGCAAAGATGAGTAATCACAGCACGCATAAGTAGTGTTTGTGTTAAAGAAATAAGATTTTGCAGAATTACTGCCTAAACTGGCAGTAATTCTGCAAATAAAATATGGTTGATGGTATTTATGTGATATATATCTATCTGAAGTGATGCAACAGAAACAAAAGAAAAAGCATTCAATCACCTTCAGTTTGTCCGCAAGACAGAAGTGTGTTCAGCACTGAAATAGAAGTTAATACTTATAAAACTTAAAATTAACCTTGCATTTAAAACTTCCTGGTGGTTTACTGATGACAGTATTGTGTGTAATTAACAATGTCACTACTAAGTTAAGTTAGACCTGTGCCAGCTACCCTGCATTAACTAAAAGGTGATCAAAGTGAAGTGGATAAAAATACCATACTGTCTGCGCTCTTAAAGAAACTAATATAAAATAGACATTGCATAATGTAAATATTCTGTATACTTACAAACCAACCCAGATGCACAGAAGAAAGCATGTCCATCCTGACATTCAACACTGAAAATGGTGAAAATGTCTCTGTACTTGTGAGAAATGTTTCCACTTTGATGCTCTGATGCATATGAACAAGATAAAAAGAGAAGTGTGGGTGAAAGGAAGCTATATCTCTTATCAGCGTGAGCACACTTGCTTTCTGCGGAGTCCTTTTCTCAGGCCACACCATCTCTCCTCCCTTTCCTGTTTTAAATAAAGCTCTCACAACTGCAGTTACTTCAGTTTTGAACATGTCCCTGTCAACACAATAATGATAAATAGTAACTCATGAATAGTGACTTGACAGCTGCATGAGGGTTTACATTTTATTTCATGTGTCATTTTTGGCTTGGTAATTATTGTGGCTGTTATTAGAATAAGTCATGAGAATAACTTTAAAGGGTTAAACTAATGTTTTCTGCAATTAAACTAATGACATTTTCAGGACATTGTCTGTGTAGAGAAAACATGTTAGAGCAAAATGAATAATATACCGTATTTATGAAATACATTTCTACATAATATATGTAGGAATATGTATGAAACAGTAGTTTTGATTGCTATTTTTAGTCCCTATTTAGGATTACAAAAGATGCAATTTGTACTAAGCTGTTACTGTGATACTGCAGGGTTTAGCAGACAGGTTGCAGTCAAACACTGACTGATAGGTCTTGGAACCATTTCTACCAAAGGTTAACATAGATTCAATAAATTATAAATGACATAATATCACCCTCTAGTGCCTATCTGCTGTAAACACAGTCCATCATTGTACTGTGCTTTGTGTTATAAGATTGACGTAGGAAATATGGGACAAAGAGCTAGAGCTGTATAGTCGAGTAGAGTGAGTGATTTATTTATGTTTTAGGTTTATATTTCGGAGATTTCTTCCTATTAAAAAGGAGTTTTTCTGGAGGGGGTGGTCTGACTTTTTTTTGTTCCTGTATTATTATTTTTGTGATTTTGATGCTTTAAAAGTAAAACTGAATTGAATTGCGTGTAAAGTTAAATATTTCATTGTTTACATTTTTTACAATTTTGATGATTACAGCTTACAGCCTAAAAAAATACATCTAACAATTACAGACATATAAACTCAAGTCAAGTGGCTTTATTGTCATGTCAACCATATACAGTGGTTCAGTACACAGTGAAACGAGACAGCATTCCTCCAAGACCTTGGTGCTACATAAACAGTAAATCAATACAGGACTACATAAAGTGCACACTACATTGGATCAATACCAAAATGTTGTTGCCCATCGTTAATGCAAGATGCATAGCAAAGCATGTAGAAAGCAACAAAAAATGACTCAAGAAATCATGCTACATCCTGGCTTGTCCAAGTCAGAAGGCTTTAAACAAAAATCCAGACAGAGAGCAATGGAGAGGTGTGACTGCAGAAAGGAGGGCACTTTCATAACCAAGCTCACTCAGAACAGGGGTACCTCAAGCCCAGGTGTTCCAACATTATATGCAGAGATGAAAGGATAAAGCTGTTCAGTTGGTCTCAAAATTGCGAAAAAAAAAAAAAAAAAAAAAGTTGCTTGGTTGATTTTTGACCAACCCAGATTGCCAAAATTTTGAGATTTTGAGTCTTTGTCTGAAAATAGTATTTTCCCATTTTCAGTGAAGATCGGAAGAAAAATGGTGCATGAGCAAATTATTAGGTCCAATATAGAGGAAAATTTTTATAGCGGAGAATTTACTCTGATTGGATTTTCTAAACACTCATTTTCAAAATAATAGAACCCCAGTACTAAATGTCTATTAACTTTAAGCTGTCTCTGTGATTTGATATTCATATTGTATACATGGTCATTTAGTTGAAAGTTACAAAAGATAAATCCTTTACATTTTTACAATTATATTGTAGAGCTATATCATGATAGAACAAAAACACTGCTCAGGCCAAAATAAAAAAAAGATAAAAACCCAAACTATAACTGCATACAATTTCCATGAAGAAATGCATTTATTCACACATTTAAATCCATACAGTATTATATCAGTCCTCTTTTAGGTAATGTTCAAAAACTTTCAATACATGCATTTATAGTATTTCTTTGTACCCATAGAGGAACCTATCTTATGTTACACTGCAAAAGCTAACTTTAAATCATGTTTTATTATTAAATGAATACAGATAATATGAACACTAAATGAAAACACCTTGTCTGTACCATATATTATATATATTGTATACTGTATATTATAATGATGATGACTATCACTAAAAAAAACTGTACAAAATACTGAACAAGCTACAGACATTTCTGTATAAGAAGCTTGAGGTTGGTTTTACTGCTACAATTCGGTTCAATGACCTGTAAAACAGCCACAAAAAGGACATAGGGATTATCATTTAGTAACAATATTATGAGCTAAAGAGTACAAATAAATCACTAAATATAACAGTCATGTTAGCTTAATTACAGAGGGCACTTCCTAATTTAACTTCAGAATAAACTGCTTCATCAGCTGATGCATGACTCGAGTTTACTGTGACTGGAGAGAATATTATTTAAAAGGCTTAGCTGTAAACTCATAATAAAAAGTAAGTCTTTAACTCACAGGTCAATTAAGTTAGTTCTCAATTGTATCTGAGACAAATACAGAGTATGACATATTAGTGATACAAACTAAAATGTATTCAAGTAAAAAAATAAGTAAAGCAGATTTTCATGTTATTTATTCCAGTCAAATTTTAAGATCATCACTGGAGAGGATGGCAGGCTTTACTTACGCTGGTTGTTCTTGGATGCTCTTTTATTGTGACGGTTGACCTGGGCATACGTTGGACTGTCTTCTAAAAAATAAATGAGATCTCAGGATGCATTTATGCCGCAGAAAACAATGATATACAGCTGCTGAACTTGTGGACAGCCTTAGAAGTTGACATAAATCATATGAATTTCATAATATTCTTTACTATTATTATTATTATTACACAAAGCTGTGTGTTTGTTTGTTTGTTTTAACCCCCCTGTGTGGCACCATTCCAGGAAGCATATTCATCAAACTCTGACTTTAAAAACAAACAATAAGTTGATTAACTCTGAAATTGGCAACTCTGTGTCTTCTGTTCCAGAACAGCTGATCAGAGTTAGTTCAGTCAAATCTGAATATGTTCACCCGATACATGAGCAGAGAAAAAAGCAATCATCAGTGGATCCCCAATACTGCAATTCAACATGCCAATGGGTAAAAAAATATGGAACGCCAGGACTGCCATAATGAATTAATTAAATACACCATTAAATAATTAATTAAATGTGGCAATAATTAATCAAAATTGGAATTAATTAATTAAATAAATAGTTATGACACATGTAATTAATTAATTATTGACACATTTAATTAATTATTTATGTAGTTCACGTTTTAATTAATTATTGACACATTTAATTAATTAATTATTGACACATTTAATTAATTATTTATGTATTTCACGTTTTAATTAATTATTGACACATTTAATTAATTAATTATTGACATATTTAATTAATTATTTAATGATATATTTATTTATTTCATTTTGGCAGTCTTGGCGCCTGGCTCTCATCATGAAATAATTTTATCTGTCAGCCTCACCCATCAAACTCAGGGGGCGGGGTTAACGCTGATCGAGTCAAAACCATTGCTTTGGCCTGGTGGCCATTGTTTCTAGCACACAACAACCGGCATGTGGAAGCTAACAGAACTGAGCTTTGAAAAACCCTGTTTGTGTGTCACCAAATACCGTTTTAATATTTTTTAGCCGAGAATGTAGTGGTTTAATCTTCATGTGTCTGGTCGGTTTGTCAAGATACAGCCTCTTTGCAAAAGTGTTTCGATGATTTCGGAGATGTCGTCCCAGTCTCACGGCAAAGCGTGGGATAGACCCGCTCGCCTCGCAAGCAATCCCACCGACAAAGCGCAGGCCCCGGTACACAGCTGTAGTAACCCCCGCTGACTTCTTTTACTGAGGTTATATTTATCGGTGTTTTATTTCCTGATGTTCTTATGTGTCCTACGTGTTTCAGTCGCCAATTCTGAATTATAACTAACATTAAAAACATGTTTAAGGAGGAGAGAGAGCAAATAAATCTGTTTAACATCTGATCTTTGGGTTTTTGTTCAGTAATCAGCGTGACCTGTGTATAAACACATAAAAGAGATAACGTTGGTGTTTCCGTCATGTAGTAACTGCTGGCTTTAACTGTACAAAGGTTGTTCGACACTATGAAACACATACAGACTTCATGATGTTCGGCTAATATTTTTATTGTGAATATTAATCATGCTGACCTCGCTCTGTACACCACGCAGCGAGGTCAGCATATCCACGATATCCTCAGCTCCATGAGTTAACACAAAGTTTCCCAGCTGACTATCTAACTGCCAACTATTCCAGAGACGTGAAAATATACAGCATAAAGAAAAGTGTAAGAGACTCAGCAGCAGATTAGAATAACAGTTATACATTTAATAAATCACCAAATGAATCCAAGAAACGAGCAAACCTGTTCCGACAATTTGAATTTGTATTCCCTCAGCTGCAGACTCGCTGCTGTTTAAATGTTTGAAAAGGAAGATTAGATATAAACAAACGTCAAACATAGACTCAGTCTGCCTTCACATTTGATATGAGGCCAGCACGTATAGTGGCCTCAGCAGGCTATTACTGAAATACACGTGCTATATCATAAACTATGATATAAACAGGGAGGTCCTATTAACATGTTTAGTTTTAAAGGACACCTTCCTGCCTTTAGTCTCATTCATGAGCAGTATTCGTTTTCTTCTAACATCCAGAAGTCTGCACAATGTGTTTCATAGTTTGTAACAAGCCTTTGACAGGTAAACATAACATGACCGAAAAAGCAAAAAAAAAAAAAAAAAAAAAGAGAGAGAGAGAGAGAGAAAGAGAGAGTGTTGACATAAGAAGAGAAAATGCTCTCAATTATGGAGACAGACAAATGGTTCATTTATGTTTGATGTGTGTTTATTCCTCCCTAAATATCGTAGGTGAAGTTCGCCATGCACGTCAGATTTTCCTGCGCATTTTTATACCTCTGCCAACAGAGAGAGAAAAAAAATCACATTCTAACAGACAGCTGGTGCTTAGAATACAGTTGAATAACTATTAAAAAACAGATGATATTTAGATGATAGTTCAGTCTAACACATGTGCCAGTGAACCATTAAACGTCTGTGAAACTATGCAGTTATGAAACGTAACTTTAACCTCAGCCAAACCGATTTGCTCAGTTGTAAATAAAACAGCGAAGTAAACGTGACCCGACAGACAGAACCTGAGTGAATGAAGTCCAGCGTTTAACCACTGAGAGCTAAAACTCAGCTGAGGTTTGAAAGCTGTGTGCCGGTGATTGGACATCAGCCGCTGATAAAGCTGGCTCGCCTATAAAGTGCTCTGTAAGGAAACAAGCTCCAGCAGCTCTGCGCTCGGGGAAAATACTATATTTACTTATCTTGTGCAGAAAAATGCGCTGACATTGCGTTATATCGAGCACCGGCTGCCCAGTTAAACTGTGACTATCACCAGGTAACTAGGCGTGTTTCTTGAATTAGCAGCAGGTGTTAAACAGCTGACAGATGAGGAGGAGGATGCATGCAGGTAAACTGAGGGTCTGCTGAGCTGATCGCTGGTTTCGTGAGAAAAATGTCAGCTCGTTCTTTATGTTACAGAAGCACAGAGACACAAGACCAGGCGGAAAGAGACGATCGTTCGGTGAAAATGAGAATCTGCGAATGCAACATGTGGAACACGGAGAGTGGAATATGTAAACAAACCGGTTAATGTACCCCCTCGGTGCGCTCTGCATGCTAACTGTTAGCAGAGCTAGTGAAATCTCTGAAAACATCTGAGCACTTTTGCAAGCATGTTCTATGTTGACAACCTGACCAGACATACGTCGCGACATTCACGGCTAAAACACCATTAAAAGTGTAGCTGGTGACAGAAAAACGGGGTATTTTAAAACTACACCACCACCATTGCTGCCTGTGATTTGATCTGCATTCTGGGATAACTGGCTGCCCCAAGTCTACACAAGCAATCGATTATCTAGGATCGACCTGTTTTGACTTACTTTGCACGGCAACCAATCAAATGTTAGAGAAGCTGCATGGGCAGCGTTAACCCCGCCCCCTGAGTTTGATGGGTGAGGCTGACAGATAAAATTATTTCATGACGAGAGCCAGGCGCCAGGACTGCCAAAATGAAATAAATAAATATATCATTAAATAATTAATTAAATGTGTCAATAATTAATTAAATGTGTCAATAATTAATTAAAATGTGAAATACATAAATAATTAATTAAATGTGTCAATAATTAATTAATTAAATGTGTCAATAATTAATTAAAATGTGAAATACATAAATAATTAATTAAATGTGTCAATAATTAATTAATTACATGTGTCATAACTATTTATTTAATTAATTAATTCCAATTTTAATTAATTATTGACACATTTAATTAATTATTTAATGGTGTATTTAATTAATTCATTATGGCAGTCCTGGCGTTCCATAAAAAAATAGCAGACCATTCATTTTAATACAGAGGACCAAGAAATAAGATATGACAAGAGATTGACATTCACAATATGAATGTCAATCTTTAAAAACAGAAAAGAAGACAACAGTATATATATTTTTTTCTTAAGCCTATCCTGTCTGGCAGCGTTTGCAATCAATGTCATATCCTCAACAGTTGACCTGTCCTAAGTGGCTCAGTGCAGGGAGTGAGCACTGCTGTAAATAAGTCATTTTGGATTAATCTTGCACTACGGATCGGGAGGAGAGCACTGCACAAGAGTCGGGAATTTTGCCACGGAAGAAATCGCACTGTTTGTTCTAACACTGTAAATAAATTCACTGCCGCAACCAGGAAAGTCCTCCATTTGGGTCCAGTTCCTAACTAAATGTGATAAACTGTTGTTCCAAACACATTTTGGTTTTTCAAGATCAGCTCTATAAATTTGCTATGGGCGCTTCCTTTTCAGGGTTTATCTGTTTATTTTGTCACTTTTATCCATGTTATTTCAATTATTACATTGTATATGGTACACAATATGACAATGTCTAAGACAGGACAGCCGGGCAGGGGAGGGGGACCTAATAAAAGGAAAGAGTACAAATAGAATTGCACAATGTATCACCGACTGCCACACCAGTAAGAAAAATGAACATACAGCACCTGGAACACAAAAATTCAAAAAATGCACCTATACTTGGTACTAACTAAATGAATGTGGAAGCAGTCATGTAAGTACACAAAATAGCAAACTAATTCAAGTCTAGGATTTCAGTTCTTGTTAAAACATAAACTTCTGCAAATTAATTCACTTGTCAATGCATCTTTATGAATGAGGAAATGAATGTGTCAGTCAGCTGGTTCAAGTCTAGAAGGAGAGGAGGAGTCAGAGAAACTCAGAGTTTATAGAAGAAAACCTGCCAGTGAGCAGGTTAGGTTTACAGAGACTGTCACCCCAGAAACCGACTAAGAGTTGAAGTTAACACTCTTTCTGGAACAGAAAACCCCAGTTTCACTCATTACAACTCAGAGCTGTTAGCTAACCCTGCTTCCTAGAACAGGACAGTACAGACACTAGATAATGCAGAAGATGGACTATAAGACAATCTATGGGTGCACCAACTCTTTGTGTAAGGTACAGATAGAAGAGAAACTACCAAACAAATCTCTTTGAGACTCAGAAGGAACTGATGCATACAGTTGGCCAAAAATTGAAAGGAAAAAAAAAAACCCTAAACAAAAAAACAACACACATCCACAACACAAAAAGGATCAGGCAATTGACAAAGGCAAACAAACATCAATATCATAGCTTTTGTTAGTGATTTAAACTGTGAGTACATACAAACAAAAAAGTAAAACAGATTCACAATTTTAGAATTCACAATCATTAATTATGACAGTAAATTATTAATATAAACTAAAATGCATACACAAATAAGAAAAAAGACTTCATTTTTAATCAGAAATTATTATTTTTATGATAATTATCAAGTTCAACACTGGAGATTATAGCAGGCTTTACTTACCCTGGTTTTCCTTAGCTTTTGCTTTATTGTGACAGTTGATCTCGGCATATGTTGGAATGTCTTCTATAATAAGAAAGGAGATTTGAGAATATATTTCTATCAGTGGCTCACTGGCTTACTAAGAATTTTGATTCCCTTGTAGTTGGAGCACACCCTCTGGCCCCCTTTCTTAGAAAGGGGAACCACCAACAGTGAGTGTCCCAGTTCAGAGGCAATGCCCCTGATGTCCATGCAATGTTGCAAAGGAATGTCAACGAAGACAGCCCTACAACACTGATGTTCCTCAAGGAACTCAAGGTGAATCTCATCCATCTCAGGGAACCTGCCACCAAGGACCTGTTTAACTACTGACTCCGCCTCCAGTGATGGGTGAGTAATCCCCCTCGCCCCAGACTCAGCACATGATGATTTAATCTTTTTTTTTTCTTTTTTCTTTTGGGCCTTTAAATAAAGAGTTTTGTTTTGTTTGGGATTTTCCCCAGTTTACACAAATGTGTACATATGGGGTCAAAAGTATACATACACTCTTACAAATAATTTGGTAAGAGGTCCTTCAGCAAGTTGCACCTTGATCAAGTGCTTTGGGTCACAATAAGCAAGCTTCTGGATTAATTTTTGAGATCAAGCTTTTGGGAAAGCCATTCCAGAAGTTTACTTTTAGCCTGCTTTATCGATTAAAAAAATATCTTTGATCTGTGGTTGTTATCATTGTCCTGTTGAAACACTCAGTTGTGCCCAAGTTTAAACCCTCTAGCTACTGAGTAAGGGTGACGTTTAAGAATTTAGAGGTAGTCCTCCTTTCATTATTCTAACCACTTCCAGACCTTGGCAAGGTGGTGAGAAATTTGAATAACTTGTACTTACATACAGTTGTTTAGGACTGTCCCATTGGAAAGTTCATTCCAGAAGCTCAAAGTTCTGACATTAGCCCAATTGAAAATATGTTGACTACACTTAACTGTGTCAAAAGAAATTAATAAAAGCTGAGAACTACCATGATACTCATGCCCTTGATGAGTGTATGTAAACTTTTGACCACAGCTATATGTGTATGTGTATATATACATGTATGTATGTTTATATGTATGTGATTAAATGTGAATGCACTTCTATAACTTATAGATTTTTATATAGACTTATATATTTATTACCGAGACTGCTTTCTAATCTGACTTCGGAGTAAAGTTCCTCATTAGATGCTGCAGGACTTGATTTTTCTGTGAATGGAGAGAAGATCATTTAAAGCACTGATCTGCAGTGTTATGATTACCAATTATAATGTACTTGAAAGGAAGACAATTGATATCTCTACTAAGGAAAAGAAAGAAGGAGTATGATAGCATCAACTGATTTACAAATCTTGATGTAAACTGTGACTACAGACATAAAAATGCATAAAAAGATTTATATTTTCAAGAAAAGATAAGCATATTGAAAAATATTCAGTGGGACTGATGACAGATGTTGCCAGTTATTTCCTTTCTTTACTTTTTTGGGTGGTGTGTGACCTCAACATAAATCAGACTCATATTAAAAAAAAAAAAAAAAAAGTCAGATTTTTTTCATCCAAAATGTGATACAGAGCTGTTGAATTAATAGACAGATTCAGAGGTGGACTAAAACTATTTTTAAGACACTGAAAAGAAAATCAGCTTTTTGTCACTGACACCGCAGCTAATGCATGCTTATTGATTTTATATATAAGATAAAACAATGTAACAAAAGATTTCTTTGTTGTAAAAATAATTCTCAGCAATAAATATTATACCATTGTGAATCCTGTTTATTTCTCCTTTAATGGTGTCACATTTGTAAGGAAAATGTATTTGTGAGTTGAGCAGCAGCAGAGCTGGGGTGGCTGTAGCTCAGGTGGTGGAGCGGGTCACCTACTCACCGGAAGGTTGGTGGTTTGATCCCAGGCTCCTTTAGTCTACATGCCAAATATCCTTGGGCAAGATATTAACCCCATTTTGCCCTCTGATGCATCCATCGGAGTGTGAATGCGAGTGAATGTTTGATAGAAACACTAAAAACCTTAGATAACGCGCTTGTATGATTGGGTTAGAATGCAGCTTAGAATGCACGAGTTGTATAAAGTGCTTTGAGTGCTCAGTGAGAGTAGAAAAGTGCTATATAAGAACCAGTCAATTTACCATTTAGTTGAGTATGTGGCCTGCGTCCATGAAAAAAATCCATGCCAAATGTTCTCTGCCAGTGTAATGGTAAATGGACTGACTCTTATATAGCGCTTTTCTACTCTCCAGGAGTAAGCACTCTTTACAACATGCCACATAACCCAATCACACCCATTCTCACAAGCACTTTCTCTAAACTCAGTGCTTCCTACATTCATTCACACATTCATACTCCGATGAATGCATCGGAGAGCAAAGGATAGGTACTAGTTGCACATTCTAATCTTGATATCTCTCTTCAGTGAAATGACCGCCAATGATGAAAAGACTTGTTTTTCCATTGAGGGAGAGGTTGCTCCCAAACCGTCATGCTAGCTCTACCCTGTCAGTCCAGCATATAGCATAGTGCTCTTAGTGTCTTCTCCACACTTTGACTCTATAATCCATAAGTAGAATCTTGACTCATTGCTGAACACAACTTTCCTCCATATGTTCAGGTTCTAGGGCACAAGTTGCTGACACCAGTATAAGTGGGCCTGATTGTGAAGAACAATTATGGCAGGGCCTCCTGGCAGCTCCACGAGACTGGAGATTTGGTCTGTGAAATTTATTTTGGGTACAATGAGCTATCAGCTATATCATTCTGCAAACCTTAACTGCAAATCTGTAGAAGATGTTTCCTGAGTGCTGACAGGGTGAGGAAACGGTCTTCTTGTGGTGTGATCTTTTTGGGAAGACATCCTCCATTACAAGGATCTTCCTCTTCAATTTGGAGATGGTACCAGGGCCAAATCTGAATAACACTGGAACATTTTGTGGAACTCCAGCTTGAAGTTGACCTATTGCATGGGCAATATCAGTCAAATGTGACATGCTTGGTGCAGATACCAACTGACAGCTGTAGCAGTCTATCCTCACAGGCGCTACTAATCAGGCCCCACTCAGTCACCGGACTGCCAGCCCCTGTAGTAGTTTTTCATGGGCACAACCAGCATACTCAGCTTTATTGCTCAAATGCAATTTCCTTACAAATGTGGTACCATCTAAGGGACCATTTAGCAGACTTAATTGCCAAGAAGCCTTTTACAACAAAAAATAATCAACCACATAAAAACGTCCTCTTTTTTTCTCATATATATATATATATATATATATATATATTAGGGGTGCAACGATACTCGTATCAATATTGAACCATTCGATACAGTGCTTTCGGTTCGGTACGCATATGTATCGAACAATACAAAATTTGTAATTTATTTCATCAACTTTCCTTCTGACGATGCTGTCTGTGTTGAGCGTTCAGTGGATCTGCGCTCGACAGTGCAGCCTAGGCAGAGCAGTCGAATGCAGATTCACTGAGCGCAGGGCAAGCTAGCGAGACAGAAGTTAAGCTCTCCTTGCAACATGGCAAATTGAACCTCCCCCACCCTCATTCAGATGTGGGTTTGGAACTATTTTGGTTTTCATGTGAAGCATGACCCTGAAGGTAAGCGTGTCATGGACTAAAGTAAAACAGTATGTCGGATGTGCCACGCAATGCTCAATTACATGGGTGGGAACTAGTGTGTTAGCGCAGTTAGCTCGTTAACGTGTTGGCCGTCCAGCCCCATGCACGGGGCGATCAGGGGTAGCTCGTTAACGGAGATTTGCCGTGTTGTGGCGTTAACGTCATTTCAGATTAACGCTGACAGCACTAGTGGGAACACAACGCATATGACTGCACATTTACGCCGACATCATCCTAGTGCAAAGACAAGTGGAAGCAGACAAAAACAACAAGCAGCATGCTACAAACTTTACCCGAGTCATTTAGACAGCCGTTAGCACATGATTCTCCTGATGGGGACCTGATATGTTTAATATGCTGCTGAGAATATAGCCCATAAGAAGCGTATAGTATAGCTTTTATTTTGGAAAGAGCCATTTCTCTGTAATAAACTCTCTTTTCCAAAGATGAGTGATTCCTCAATCAGATATTTTTTTTTTTTTATTACTTTGTTGTTTCAGCAGCATAAAATTTAAAAACTATACTTTTGAGTTAAAATATATACTTATAATTTTAATAAATGACAAATTAAAAAGGCATGAACAATTTTTTTTTTGTATCGAAAAAATATCGAACCGTGACACCAAAGTATCGAACCGAACCGAATTTTGTATATATATATATATATATATATATATATATATATATAGCATACAGTATGTATGAGTTCATGTACAACCTGAATGGTGGAATATGAATATGGAATATGAATAGAGAGTGAAAACATAGGAAAAAGCAATTTATCTGTCATGCATATATCTAAGAAACAAATGGAAAGCAACTATAAATCACAAATTGGTTTAAAAATACTGTATATAAAGCAGGCAAATGTAATAATATCCAATATATCCAAATGATCTTCGATGTGTGCAAGATTCAACTCTGGTAATATTTATTAATCCTATGAAAGTAGCCAAGCTTGGTAACTGCTAAGCTGACCTGAAACTGCATGCAATGCAAACAATGAGACTGTTATGACTTTACCTTCATCTCCCACCTTCACCTCTGAGTAAATAGTATGCTCCTGTGATTTATGATGCTTCCCTGTTTAGATAATCATATGAAAAACTTTAATAATTTGAACTTTCTCAATTATGAAAAATTATATATTCATGTTCAATGTTTTTTTACATACTCACTCTTTTTTCCAACATGTTTAAGCTGAATTACAGAGTATGTAATATCTTGTATTTCACCTGCACCTGAAATGCCAACATATCACACAGAATTAGTTTCCTTAAATTAAAAAAACAAAAATAAAAATACTAACAACAAGAAAATAGCTTTATTTGTAACTACTGTATATATTAAATCATCTCCAGTTTTTTTCCCACATGGGTTACTGATTCATAGAGCTTAGCAGTACCTAAATTAAAAAAAATAAAATAAAATAAAATAACAAGCCAAGAGTTATTTTGTGCCAAGCTGATATCAGTTGTTTTTAAAGGTAATTACAAAGATAGAAAATCCTGAGGCCTTTTTAGAGATTAATGAAGATTTTAGATTCATACTGTATAAATAAAAATAAATTTTCATCCATTGAAGTCATAATGATGTTGTAGTATGTGTAATTAATATACAACAATAACATTTGTAGATTCTTTCAATCAAGTAATAAAGGATACAATCAGGTATAAAAAAATCTGGTTTAACTCCGATCTGTTATTGTCATTTTACTTTAAGTTCAACTGAAAAAGTTTCATTCTCACAGCTTTTGATTTTTAAATATATATTTTAAATAACATTCTTTTGAAAACAGATGACCAAAAACTGAAGCAAAGAATTACAGTTAGGGTAAATGAAAACTTAAAGAAGAACTGACCATGGTCAAGACAGTTGTGTTTGTGAATTTCACTCTGGTTGACTACATGATTGGTGGTGGTCATTGGACTGTATGGCATAATAAAAACATAACAATTACATGCAAAAAGTCTGATAAACGCATGCACTGCAGGTTAATAAATATATTTACTACAATAAAAAAATACCAACCTGATGAAGCCTGAATCTGTAAAAAAGACAATTGTTTCGCTGTTAATGTAAATACAATTCCCTGTTATAAATGTCACAGTTATCGTTACATTTAAATTTTGAAATTTGAATCAAGGAAAAGGTCTCACCCTTTTTTTTTCTATAGTGATAAAACGAGATTAGGACAATAATAAAGACAGAGATTCCACAAGCCAATCCAACAATCAACCACACAGGCAAAGAAGAGCTTTCAGGACATAACACACCTACTGCAAAGATAATTGCAAAAGTAGAATCAAATGACTTCAAACTTCAAAACACCCAAAATTCTTTATGGACAGCACATCACTTTATTCTTTATGATGACTGTACTTAATGATAATCATGCTAGTTCTCAAATATCAAAATGGTTTACAAAAAAACATGCGTCACATGTCTTGATCCTGCTCACCTTTAACTGACATCCAGCTCTGTGCTGACTCTCTTCCTGAGTACTGACACTTGTAGAAACCTTCATCAGACTTTGACACTGCAGAGATCTTCAGCTCCCCTCGGGTATCATTTTGAATAAGTTTGTCATTGTGATAGAAAAACACATTGGAAAGTATTTGTTGTGTTCTCAAACTGCAGCTCAGACTAACAGAAGCTCCCTCAGTCACAGGATGAACAGGACTCACCAGGATAGGACCATTACCATCATCTGTGAAACAATCACACACAATTGTTTCAGTCACATCAGCTGGTGCACACTTTTAGAAAAAAAAAAAAAAGAAGACATATAATATAGTAAGAGATAAGAATAGATTGCACAAATGCTACAAATGGCTTTTAAAATCAATCTCTGATTTCCAATCCTGAATATTTAAAAACTATTTTCACAAACCAGTACAAATTAATTGGGTTAGGTTATAATAGTAGTTTTTAATAGTTAAAATAGTTGCGAGTGTGTTAACCCTTTGAGGTCCACACCAAGAAAAAAAGCAATGGAAAAACATTTTTCTTTGCATTTCTTATTGACTTGGGTGAGTAATAACCACAATCAATATTTTTTTTCAATAGACCCTGTAGTTTTTCACCACACTGTGGTTGAAGGTGGATGGTATCATGAGTGTCATGCCACAGGACCATGTGATTTTTAGCCATATAATTGTTTAGCGTCCATATAGTACTTATTAAACATGAAATTATAATTTTGACTACTTAGAAAAATTAATTTACCAGTTACTGTACTTTGGTTAAAGGGTAATTAGTTGTGATATTTGTGATTTCCACATGTTATTCTTGATTTTTACAGTATTTACTAATATTAACTCAGGAAGTTACAAAAATTACTTACTGAGGAAATTATTTCAGCATATTCTTGCTGTGCTAACACTTAATGGGATTTATCAACAGCAATGGATAAACAAAATGGGTCTAGTGGTCTGATATTATGGCAAATAATGAATATAATAACATTAAGTTTTGTTAGCATTAGCACCATAAAGTGACAAATCAGCCGTTTGGTTGGGGAATCATGTTTAAATGATTAAACATTTAATTTCACATTTTTAATGCTGTCAAGTGACATACATCTGTTTAGTAAGTCCTCTAACACTATCATATATCAAAAAATTATATCTTCCTTCCTTAGTTTCATCAAAAACACTCAAAATATGTTGGATGATTTTTTGTTTCTGACTTCCTGGTTGGGAGAGCGATAAGAAGAGCCAACCGTTTACATTCACAGTGTCTTCTGGTGGATTTTTGGCATTACAGATGTAAACCAATTGGTAGAAAAGATTCAATAAGGTAGGTCAATTTCAGTGAAAGCCTCCGTTAGATATAGGGCCTGAAAATGTACTCTACCAGTTGGTTGAGCAAAACTCTAAAGGTTAAGAGAGGTTTTATAAATACTTTGTTAATTGTAAGTCATGGTTAAAGATATTTTAAATCAGGGGTGTCAAACTCAAATACACAGTGGGCCAAAATTCAAAACTGGAACAAAGTCGCGGGCTAACATTAATATTTATTTTAAAAAAAAATCTTCCTCCAGATATAGGAATGAATCTTTTCTTATGGACTCAAATAAGTTTTGCTGGAAAACTGAATATGGAACAAGCAAAGCTTAATACCAAACAATATATATATTAGCTGTTTAATACCAGTAGGCCAGCTCTAATAGTAATTTGGTATGGCTTCGCGGCCAAATGTAATTAGGCTGCGGGCCAAATTTGGCCCGCGGGCCAGAGTTTGACACCTATGTTTTAAATCATAACACTAGATGTACCAAGTGATGCACTGTCATTTACGCCAGAATTTAAAGCTAAACACACATGTAAGAGCTATATTGAAACAGATATTGTTGCTGTTTTATGATCATAATCGCTGATTAAATAGAAGCTAAAAAGGAAGTCACAATACATACAAAAAGGAGAAAATTGTGTGAGAATTGCTGCACTAAAATGGCGTTATATTAATCTACAGATTTACTAACGTGTTAGAGTAGTATTTTGAGAATTTTGATTTCATATGCATTATGGCCATTGAATACTGGTATTTCTAGATTTTAAGGAAGTAACATTTTTGTTTTACACAGACAAAGATTTTGATACTCTGGGCTGACAGACTCTGCTTTTTCCTCCAGGAGCACCCACCCCTACCCGGTGGAGCTCAAGTTGTCTTCAGCTTGTCCTGACCGCCCATGCCAGTCTTGTCCCCCACCGGGAAAGCAGTCAGTTTTGTCAGTTCTCAGGCGAAGAATAAAGTTGGAGTGAGAAGTGAGGTCTCTTATGTCATGTTTGTTTACCTCCACATTACTATAAAATAATTTTTACAGCTGTTTTTAGGATCTTTAGGCCTTTAGGATCACGAATGTCAATTAAAAAAAAAAATACAAAATCTGACGTTACAGAAAACATAAATGGGTCAATGTTGTTGCCAATCATTCAGCCAACTTAGGACCTAATGAAAATAATAACCAAAGACTTCTTGAAATGTAGTTTATAGAATATGTCTATGAAGGTTCTCAGTCATCCAGGTCATCGTAGTCTAAGCTTGGAAAGAAAAGCGTCTGGACTTCTTTAAGTTGCTTGAAGACATGGGATGGTGGGACTCTCCACCATTTGACCCTAGAACTGTAGAAGCTTCTCGGATGACAGGTGAAACGTCTTGTGGAGATCAGAGAAATATTTTACTGCTATTATTCATAGTCATCATCATTACCATTGCATTAATAACATTAATAATATAATCTACAGCATTGATATTGTATTCAGATGTTTAAACATATTGGCACCCAAATAGCCTTTATTACAGGTGCAGTTATAACCACTTTAAACTGTTGAGTTAAATCTATAATCTTAAATGCTTTGGAATGCTTTTTATAATCTTAAATGTTTATATGTAGATTACATTGCATTATAAAAGAAAGGCCTAACTGAGTACACTCTGTGCCAAAGTAGACAGGAAGCGCAGGCTTTTGCAGAGCGTGCTTGTGAAGGTGAAACTAAAGCAGAGTCTAAGTGTAAGTTACTTTGAGGAGCTGTTGGGAGGATGCTATTTGAATAACCAGGTTATTCATTATTGTCTTTTATTCATTTATATCTTTTGATTAAGCTTTTAGTAGAGGTTCTTGATTAAAACATTTATTCAACATATTACAGATATAGTTTCAGTTAGGTTATTATGCACATGAGAATTGGCCTCTCTTCTCATACAGTGGGGCAAAAAAGTATTTAGTCAGCCACCGATTGTGCAAGTTCCCCCACTTAAAATGATGACAGAGGTCAGTAATTTGCACCAGAGGTACACGTCAACTGTGAGAGACAAAATGTGAAAAAAAAATCCATGAATTCACATGGTAGGATTTGTAAAGAATTTATCCGTAAATCAGGGTGGCAAATAAGTATTTGGTCAATAACAAAAATACAACTCAATACTTTGTAACATAACCTTTGTTGGCAATAACAGAGGTCAAACGTTTACTATAGGTCTTTACCAGGTTTGCACACACAGTAGCTGGTATTTTGGCCCATTGGATAAATTGGATAAATATTCACAATATGTGTCTTCTAAATGGTTGAAATGAAAAAAAAAAAGCAGTTAAGGAAATGTGTGTAAAAACATACCATGAACAGTGATGTTGACTGCACTGCTGAACTCTCCTGATCCAGACTCACACCAGTACACTGCAATATCTGACTTTGATGGGTTGATGTCACATGTGGATCCAGTCATTCTGCTACAGTCAGAGTACAGTTGGCCGTCCTCAGAGAACTTTCTCACTCTCCACTCAGCGAACTTTCCCTCACAGGTCAGTGAGACAGAGTCAGAGGTGAAGTGTTGCACTCTGTCAGGACTCACTGTGAGAGACGCTGCTGAATGAACATCTGGAAACAACATGCAGTGAAGACACAAAGCTCACAGATGTTAGGATTCAAAATATCGTGATGAAAATGTACTTTGTTTATCCAAATCCTATGTAAGAAATAATGACTATGTAAATAAAATGAATTTAAATATCCAAAATAAAAATACTCATTGCAAAGAAAAAACTAATTAAAAAAATAGTTGTTTCCATATTATCACATTATACAAGTGCAAAAATAATGAAAAGAAACAAAATCAGTTTGATCATAAATAAAAATGGAAATATTCAGTATACACAAACATTTAATTGTCATTATTGAATTTCAATGAGCTGAATTTTGGTGAAAAGAGTTGACATAAAATTGGTTTATTGAGAGGATAAACAGAATCAAACTGACCTGCAGACCAGACAAACTTTGGTTGACTGTGATCAGTGTGATACTCTGGGTCTCCTCTTCCAGCTCCGCACACATATCCTGCTGTGTGTGTCTGTCCATGAATGATGTAGGAGTTGTTTGCAGTCCCATTGCCATCAGGTAGCAGCTCATAACTGGAGGATTTCTGTGATAGATCAGGAACAGCTTTATACCAGTAGAAGCTCCATCCTGCAGACGGATGTTCAACCTCACAGTTCAGAGTTACTGAGGCTCCAGGACTCAGCCATGATGGAGACACAGTGAGGACAGGACAGGGTTTATCTGTTGAAAAACAATTTTCTCAGAAAACATGTCTAGTAGCATTTCTTAAGACTAAATTCAACTTTTCACCATATATACATACACATACACACATATATATACTAGGGGTGCAACGATATTCGTATCGATATTGAACCGTTCGATACAGTGTTTTCGGTTCGGTACGCATATGTATCGAACAATACAAAATTTGTAATTTATTTCATCAACTTTCCTTCTGACGATGCTGTCTGTGTTGAGCGTTCAGTGAATCTGCGTTCGACTACTCCGCCTAGGCTGCACTGTCGAGCGCAGATCCACTGAGCGCTCAACACAGACAGCATCGTCAAAAGGAAGAGCGCAGGGCAAGCTAGCGAGACAGAAGTTAAGCTCTCCTTGCAACATGGCAAATTGAACCTCCCCCACCCTCATTCAGATCTGGCGTTTGGAATTATTTTGGTTTTCATGTGACGTATGACCCTGAAGGTAAGCGAGTCATGGACTAAAGTAAAACAGTATGTTGGATGTGCCACGCAATGATCAATTACATGGGTGGGAACTAGTGTGTTAGCGCAGTTAGCTCGTTAACGTGTTGGCCGTCTAGCCCCATGCACGGGGTGATCAGGGGTAACTCGTTAACGGAGATTTGCCGTGTTGTGGCGTTAAGGTCATTTCAACGACATTAACCTGAAAGCACTAGTGGGAACACAACGAATATGACTGCACATTTACGCCGACATCATCCTAGTGGAAGCAGACAAAAACAAGCAAGCATGCTACTAACTTTAGCCGAGTCATTTACACAGCTGTTAGCACATGATTCTCCTTATGGGGACCTGATATGTTTAATATGCTGCTGAGAATATAGCCCAGAAGAAGCGGATAGTATAGCTTTTATTTTGGAAAGAGACATTTCTCTGTAATAAACTCTCTTTTCCAAAGATGAGTGATTCCTCAATCAGATACAGGGCTCGCAATATCGCTAGCCGGACGTCCCGGGGCTAGCGATTTTTCCAGTCGGGCTACCAAAATCTATCTCTTCCCTGCCCGTCGGGCTATTGTTGGAAGGAAAAATATATGTCAATGCTTTTGCATTCTTTCAGAAATGTAGCTGGGTAATTATGTCATTGGCATCGGTGAGCCACTGTCAATATGTGACATATTGAAATCGCGTTTGAATTTGCGCTTGTTTTTTTGCTTTCACTTTGCAATCGCGCGAACTGTGTATAGAGAGCGACAGCACTGATCTGTGAGTGATGATAATTTGTGCACCAATTCCTCTGACATCGTCTTATTAATCGTTAGCTTACTATGCAAACATGACAAGTGAAATCTCCCGCAGCAAGCTTAAACATGTGAGAGGTTGATCGCGCAGAGAATCGCTGAGCTTATTTGAGTGTGTGTGTAAAAGCAGCAGGATATATATTTCAGTTCTGCTGAGCCAAATAAGACAGGTCAGGGTGAAGAAGTGACAGCCAAAGAAAAGCTTACCACAAAACGGAAAAGTAATGACAAATCAGACTATAAGGCAAAAACAAAGTGCAGCTTTATGGTTTCATGGACAAAAGAATTTCTGTGGCTGCAATATGACGAGGTAAATAACCAGGGCTGCACATAAGTGGTCCGCAGGTGCGCATTCGCTGTCAAAATAAAAAACACGCACAAGGGTTAGGGTTAAATTTAAAAACTGTACTTTTGAGTTAAAATATATATTTATAATTTTAATAAATGACAAATTAAAAAGGCATGAACATTTTTTTGTATCGAAAAAATATCGAACCGTGACACCAAAGTATCGAACCGAACCGTGAATTTTGTGTATCGTTGCACCCCTAATATATATATACATATATATATATACATATACATATTTACATATATACACACACACACACATAATAATAATGCCAAACAGGTTAAAGAAATATTATGCTGTTGTGTCTTCATCTAAATGCTGAATCGTGAATTCAGCACGATCGTGAATTTATTCTACATTGTTCTTTAAACCCCAAATCAAAACTTCACTTATTCCCTGTTGTACTCTGTGTGGTAAAATGGGTTATCCTCTTCCTTCTCTGCATGAAGGAAGAGACCTTCCCGTGGCACACTGTTTTGTCCACTCGAGTTGAAAATTGCAAGGCTTAAAGGATTTCAAGTCTCATTACAAGTAATTCTATCATGACTCACAAAGATCAGTCAGTGTGACCTCCAATGTGAATTTTTTATATTTAATTCACTGTTTTAGGAATATATTTGTTATAATAATAGTAAATGTTATACTTGAAGTGTGACATAATTTACTGATCACACTCTAGAAGAATCAGATGTTCTACTGCAGAGAAATGAACACTTTCTAATCCTAAATACATTTAGTGGATACATTTTATGTACTTTGATTTCGTCTAAGAGTTAATGTCAATAATAATAATAATAATAATGTAAATGGAGAAAAATGATAAATCATATCAGCACCAGCCAAATCTTTAAATAAAATTAGGCCATTTTACAGTTTTAAATCACAGCTAGACTTTTTCCAAATTTTCTATTTAAAAAAAAGTGTGTCTAGCAATCCATTTAAAAATAAATTTAGACTAAAAAAAACTGAACTAACTACACCATAATACAGTAAGTTGCTGGAATAGGTAAAACTCCACATGTGGAGCCACAGGAAAAATTCTCAGATACTCAGAAGACAAACCAGTGAATATAGAAATGGAGGAGAAGAAGAATAAAAGGAAGAAGAAATAAATAATAAATTAAGACAAATACATATTTTTTTCTTAGTGGATGTGCTAAGACAGGTTCACCATCTGTACAGTAGATGTTGACAGGGCAGATAAGAAAGATGATGCTGTGATACACATTGTTCTGTACTGGATCTTTCACTGTGAATACTATTATTCAACAAAGAAAAAAAAACTACTTTTATTGCCATCTGAAAGTTGAGCAGCACTAAGATAGCTAGAAAGCTGTATCATAGAATAAGCCTTTTTTTTTTTTTAACCTATTATAGATGAAACATCTCGAACTTACACAATACAGTCAGTGTGATGATATCACTCCACTCTGAGAAGAAATAGTCCCTCCTGCCCCGGCAGCTGTATCCTCCACTGTCAGACTCAGTAGCTCTGATGATTCTGTATTCATTGGATGTTGGAGGTGTGTTTAACTTGGCTGCTCTCCATTCATACGTCCACTGAGCTCCTTCACCTCCCTGAATCTCACATCTGACAGTGACTGTCTCACCGCTGTATATCTGAGTCCAGGATGGCTGCAGGGTCACAGTGGGCTTACTGAGAACTGTTCACAGAAAAATATTCATAAAATAGAAACAAAATCAACAGAGAAATATTAAGATATGTATTTCATAATAATGGTAAATTTGTTGTTTTATAGTTAGGAATGGACCTGCACAAAAATAAAAAGATCATTTTCTGTTCATTTAACAGATGGAGAAAAACAGTGAGACCGTGAGGAGAGACTGTATGACTATATGACTGCCTTTTCTGGTGCCACTGTGGCTGTGGGTTTATCTGCTCTTATGAAAAGGACATATACATGTCATGAATCGCTGTGCGGCAGACAGGAGTTGGACCCAAAATGCAAGACTCACAGACTCAGGGGATGAACTCAAAAATCACAGCTTTATTTGCTGGTAGGACAAACATACAAACTAAACTAAACTGGGGAAACAACAAACTAAGAACTCACAGAGAGACACAGGGAGATCCACACAGCATGAGGGACAACGCGACACTGACTCAGAGAAACACAGGGTTAAAATACACTGGGAAGTAATGAGGGGAATGAGACACAGAAGGAGGGCACAGCTGGGAGAAATCAGGACTGACGAGACAAGCAAAGCAGGACACATTCACATAAGACACGGACCTTCAAAGTAAAACAGGAAGGATCACACAGAGACGCGAACTTGACACAGTGGAGACAGCGACTAAGAAACACAGAGACATAAACCATAAGGCAGAGGACTCTAAGAACCGAAAGACACAGAGGGGAACTCAAACATGTAGAGACAGACTTACACAGAACAGAGGGGACACAGAGAAACATGAAGGGCAAGGGATCGAAACTAGAAACCATAGAATAACTCACACAAGTACAATAATACAAACATCACAAAGAACTAAAAACGCTGGGTCAGGAGACCCAGGACCGTGACAATACATACATACACACACATATACTACCAGACAAAAAGTTGGACACATGTTCTTATTTAAAGGTTTTTTCTTTATTTTCACGACTATTTACACTGTAGATTCTCACAAGACATAGCCACCCCTCGCTTCAATTACTGCTTTACACACTCATTATCTCAATGACCTTCATGATGTTGTCACCTGAAATGGTTTTCCAACAGTCTTGAAGGAGTTCACAGAGATGATGAGAAATATCAAACAATCAAACACCAGTTTTGGTCAAGTTACTTGAAAAAAGTAATCAGTAACTAATTACTGATTACTTCCCCAAAAAAGTAATCCCGTTACTTTGCTTATTACATATTTTCAAAAGTAATTATTTACTTAGTTACTTTTTAAAAACACGATTTACAACCTGAAGAGGTGAAAAAGCGATAGATCTTTCAGCCCAATTCTACTTTTTCTGCATAATCCATCATACAAAATGTAATCAAATGGAAAAGTCCCTTTTTAAAACTTGTTTTATTAGTTTTAATCTTTTAACTTTATGCATCAAGCAAAAATTTAATTATATGCACCATTCTCTGACTGGAAGAAATTTGTTTAATATTTAAACCTATTTTCTGCACATTGCAGCACATAAAATATTTTTTTGTGTGTGTTAACACTCACTCTTTCAAATAGATGCAAGTAAAACACAGCAGAAAATAAATAAAATCAAAGACTAGCGGTCCTGTTGCTCTATTTTCACCTGTAAAGCAGGAGTGGGGTAGGCGGAGGTTTACCCTGGTGCAGGTGTGCCGCAGCGGTCAGTGGAAGAATCCGCAAGTTTCTCTGTGAATTTCCCATTACATCGTAGCGCACTCGGTGCTTGCTTGGAAGTTAAGGGGTTTTTTTCGCTATAAAAAGAAGTTTTCTTCCCACTCACAATGGACACTAATGTTTTTGTCACTTTTTATGGAATCAAACTCAAAGTAAGGTCAGTACTTCCACGCTTTAACCACTGCACGCTCATACTCTCTCCCGAACTCGATATATGATCCATTGTTGATCTGCACACAGCTGTTGTCACGAACGTCGCACTCGCTTACGTCAATGTCGTGAGACATTCTCGCAAAAAAATCACGGTTTTAGTAATGCAGTAACGCAGCGTTCCTACGGGAAAGTAACGGTAATCTAATTACCGTTTTTGCAATAGTAATCCCTTACTTTACTCGTTACTTGAAAGAAGTAATCGATTACAGTAACGCGTTACAAGTAACGCATTACTGTATATTTCTGTCAAACACAAGAAACACAAGCCGGATGGGATAGCACATTGCTGCACAACTCTGTGATAACCATGCTGGTTCAGCGTGTCTTCAATTTTGAATAAATCCCCAACAGTGTCACCAACAAAGCCCCACACTATCACACCTCCTCCTCTATGCTTCATGGTGGGAACCATGCATGTAGAGACCATCTTTTTACCTTTCCTGAGTCGCACAAAGACACGACAGGTCGAACCAAACATCTCAAATTCTGACTCATCAAACCAAAGCACAGATTCCCACTGGTCTAATGTCCATTCCTTGAGTTTCATTGTCCAAACAAATCTGTTCTGCTTGTTGCTTTTCCCTAGTCGTGGTTTCTTAGCAGATATTTGACCATGAAAGACCGATTTGCGCAGTCTCCTCTGAACAGTTGATATAGAGATGTGTCTGCTACTGAAACTCTGCGTGGCATTTATCTGGACTCCGGGCTCCTGTCAGCTGTGTACCAACCTGACTTCTGCACAACTGATGGTCCCAACCCCATTAAGAAGGCAAGAAATTCCACAAATAAACCCTGACAAGGCACAGCTGTGAAGTAAAAACCATTTCAGGTGACAACATCATGAAGCTCATTGAGAGAAGGCCAAGGGTTTGGAGCACTGTAAACAAAGCAAGGGGTGGCTACTTTGAGGAATCTAAAATATAAAACTGTGGCGGAGGTGTGGTCCGGGGCGCGGCTGCAGGGGAGGAGTGGTGCAGTGAGCTCAACGGGGCGGTGCTGGTAAGAACAGCTGATGGCGATTTTGGACTGATGGTGGTTTTCCTTCCCTTTATATAGTGAGGCGGAGAGGAGTGGAGACAAGAGACGCTGGGGAAACCGACCGCTGTCAGACGGTGTTCTGTTGTAATTCAGTGCACACTCTTAATAAATGTGGGATCTGATGACAACGACCTGTGTGTGGGTGTATCTGTGCCTAGCGTGTGTCACAAAAACATATTTAGAGTTTTTTATGATTTTTTTCTTTGAATTCCATATACCTTGCTTCATAACTTTCATATCTTCAATTGTTTGAATCTACAGTTCTGTCTGACTAACAATGTAACATGCTTTGTAGACCATTGAATTCATCCTGTGCTGACCATGATGACATTTGTCAAATGGAGATCACACAACAAACATGACTTACTTGATCCTGACAATGTGAAGGCTTCACTCCACTCAGTTGAAGAATATGAGTCATCTCTGCGTCGACTCTTACACATGTAGTCTCCACTGCTGGACTCAGAAACTCTGAATGTCACATCATTATTGTGTGTCCACTGTGTGGGTGTGCTGGGTCCTCTCCATTCATACCACCACTCAGTGGTTTCACCTCCTTCCTGCACCTCACATGTCAGAGTGATCGTCTCACCTCTGAATATCTGAGGCCAGTTGGGTTGTTGTTTTACAACAACTTTATTGGAAACTGTTTACACATATTAACAGTTGAGATACAAACAGAAACATGAAATCAACACAGAAAACTTCACATTGTATGTTTGATAATCATAATGAATGTATATTTCAAACTAAATTACTGAACTCACTGGTTTTCTCAATGGTGACATCATCACTTATATAAGTGTAGTAAACTAGGTTTCCTCTTGTTCCTCTGCAGCGGTAGATTCCTCCTTCAGATACTCTGATATCTCTGTTTTGTTGATCTCTGATTTTACCTTCATAGGTTGTTTGGGTTCGTCTGAACCACTCATATTTCCATCCATGAGAGCTCTGCACAGAGCAGGTCAGTGTCACACTGCCCCCTACTGTTATGATTGTTGTTCCTGCTGTCAGTGTGGCCCTGGGTTGATCTGCAAGTAATTTACAGGAAAAAGTAGAATAGATTGTCACTTGTCTCAGGAAGAAATTTCTTACAGCACTGATAACACTTTAAATATTCACTTTTAGTAGAAATGACTAATTACTCTGCATGTGACATATTGGACTATGTTACAAAATCAAACTCGCTCTGATTTATTATTTATTGAAAGAGAAATATCGGATATAACAGCTTTAAATTTCTCATCATATCTGTTTCCCTTTTCATTAATATTTTAATAGTTTCAGTACAGTTTCAGTATTGCTGTCCCCACACCTGTGTCCCGTGGATGCTTTACAGGACAAACGTTACACTGGTGCCAAAACCCTGGCGCGATGTCCAATCCCCAGCCCGCTCCGCCTGCTCTCCCGGCGGCTCCGCTGTCCGCCCAGCCACCCGCCGAACCGCTGCAGATCTTGGGCCAGATGATGTTGGACATGGCGGCGATGGCGGCTCATCAGGCTGCCACGCAGGACCACCAGCTGGCGTTGCTTCACCAGCAATCGGAGCAACAGACCACGGCTCTGGGGCAGCTGCTGGGGACTGCGGCCCCCCTCCACTGTCAGTGACGTTGCACCGGATGAGGGATGGGGAGGACCCGCTGGTGTTCATCGAGGCTTTCCAGGCCACGGCGGTGGTCTGTCACTGGCCGGAGGAGGAACGGGCCGCCCGGCTGCTGCCGCTTCTGTCGGGCGAGGCCCAGACGGCGGCGCTGAGCTTGCCCCCCGGCTCACAGGGGGTGTTTGAGGATGTGTGCTGGGTGGTGCTGGATTGTCTGGGCCTCTCCCCGGAGGATTACCGTCAGCAATTCCGGGCCAGCAGGATGACGGGAGGGGAGCGGCCATTTGGATGGGCTCGGCAGCTGGAGGATACGGCAGCGAGGTGGCTGCGACCGGGCCCCTCGGCTGGGGAGGCTCGGCTGCTAAATCTGATCATCCTCAAGCAGTTCGTGGGGGGCCTGCCTGAGGCAATGGCTCATTGGGTCCACTGCCACCGCCCGGCAGATCTGACAGCGGCGATTATCTGGCGGCCAACCCGGGACCCAGCCCTGAGGAGCTGCGGCGGAGCGCCTGTAGTCACAGCAGAGGGACGGCGGCCCTGTGGGAACGGAGCCCCAGGAACCCGTTCCGGCCGCTGCTGTCCGCCGGAACCCCGGCGGCCACCGAGGTTGCCCCAGAGCCACGGGGAGCCGCACAGACGCCGGGGCTGGACTGCTGGAAGTGTGGGTGGCTGGGGCACCTGCGCTTAGAATGTCCGGGCAGGTGTTCCGTGTTGCCGGCGCTCCAGCGCCCGCCCCTGGTCCAGGAGGGACGTACTGCGTGCCGGTAAGATGTCAAGGGTGTATTCGCCATGCGTTGATGGACACGGGCTGCACGCAGACCCTGGTCCACCAAAATTTGGTTCGCCCAAAAATAACTTGAACACCAATTTTGAAAACACAACTTTCTTTTTCTTTTTTTTATAAAGCTCTGACTTGTAATATGAGTATGAGTCTGTGGTCTGGGAGAGAGTCCTGTAACTCTCCGTATGCAAAATACATTACATAATGACCAATGTTGGGCAATTAATTATATAGTTACTTCTTCAAAAAAGTAACTGAGTTTTGCAAACACCAAAGTTTTTTGCAGCTGTTTACCTAAAAATGCAGCCAAGGTAGTTTTTAAAACAAACATTTAAAACAATTTACAGAAGAATCAGGTGTTCTGCATCAAATTTGATGCCACACAAATTATTTGTGCCACTCCAAAAATAATTTCTGTCCACTATGAGATAAAGGAGAACAACAGCCTGATACCTGCAGGCCTGACAACTGGAGCTGTATCACTCCTGTAACACCTGTAACATTCAGCAGTTGCCTCATTGTTCTGACACACACAACAAAACTATTGACTACACTACACACTAACTTTAGACTCCAAACACACTAAACGTCGCAAATCTCTCACATCTCAAAACACCACCGTCACTCCTAAAAATTACCAACTTCCTACACAATTAAATGCCATGTTGCTGTATCATTTTTTGATGGGTCGACATGGTCCATTTTTCCACCAATAGGAAAGGGTGGGGTTTTTAGGGGGATTTTTTGCTCACAGGCGGAGAGTGCTTTCGAGCGTTTTCCTTATAAAACTCTGTTTTTAGCGTTTCTTCCCGCAGTAAATATAAACAACAATAGTATTCAGGAAAAAAAACGAACATTGCATATATTTTTTATTATAACTCTGCTTTTACGTGGCCTATTAACAGAATTTAAAAACTGGTATAAAGTCCACACTTTGACGGTCAATTGTTCCGTCTGTCCTCCTCACATCCCCAATGGTTGTACACGTTGTCATTAACGTGGCTTCACTCCACATCAGCCACGCCGCTTTGCTAGCTAAAACACCGGTATCGGCACATAGAGACGCTGTCATAGCCTGTCAGCGACATTGATTAGCTGCGTATATACGAATGTGAATCGCATCATTGACTGGAGCAGCCAGTCACCGGTCACTTACTGACTCACACTGCAAAAGAGAATGAATTGTTAACGTATTTATTTTAATTACAATTTAGATTCGATTTTTTTTTGTGTGCAACGCAGCTTTTCTGTGTGCAGAGACCGGGCCAGCAGTGCGCAATTGTGCACGCGTGCAGCTTAGAGGGAACATTGGTGGTTTCCCATTTTGACCTCAGGGCTTCCAGGCCATACTTGGCGCAGATGTTTCTATATACTATGCCGGCCACTTGGTTATAGCATTTCATGTGTGCCCTGCCTGCTAACATCTTGCACCTCGCTGTTATGTGCTGGATTGTCTCAGGAGCATCTTTACATAGCCTGCCCCTGGGGTCTTGCCTGATGTGGTAGAGCCCAGCCTCTATGGATTTTGTGTTCAGAGTTTGTTCCTGTGCTGCCATGATTAGTGCCTCTGTGCTGTCTTTCAGTCCAACTTTGTCCAGCCACTGGTAGGATTTCTGGATGTCAGCCACTTCCTCTATCTGCCAGTTGTACATAACGTGCAGATACTATACTATATTTTCATCCTGTTTATTTATGTTATTATTGTCCTCAGGTGATGGAGCAGCAGGTCAGCATTGGTGTCTCTATACCAGTTGAAAGTTCATGACACAAAGTGGTGACAAACTGTCTACAATGAGGCTACTATCAGCTGCAGCTCTTTGTCTGACTAACAATGTAACATGCTTTGTAGACCATTGAATTCATCCTGTGCTGACCATGATGACATTTGTCAAATGGAGATCACACAACAAACATGACTTACTTGATACTGACAATGTGAAGGCTTCACTCCACTCTGTTGAAGAATATGAGTCATCTCTGCGTCGACTCTTACACATGTAGTCTCCACTGCTGGACTCAGAAACTCTGAATGTCACATCATTATTGTGTGTCCACTGTGTGGGTGTCCTGGGTCCTCTCCATTCATACCACCACTCAGTGGTTTCACCTCCTTCCTGCACCTCACATGTCAGAGTGATCGTCTCACCTCTGAATATCTGAGGCCAGTTGGGTTGTTGTTTTACAACAACTTTATTGGAAACTGTTTACACATATTAACAGTTGAGATACAAATAGAAACATGAAATCAACACAGAAAACTTTACATTGTATGTTTGATAATCATGAGTGAATGTGTATTTCAAACTAAATGACTGAACTCACTGGTTTTCTCAATGGTGACATCATGACTTATATCAGTGTAGTAAACTGGGTTTCCTCTTGTTCCTCTGCAGCGGTAGATTCCTCCTTCAGATACTCTGATATCTCTGTTTTGTTGACCTCTGATTTTACCTTCATAGGTTGTTTGGGTTCGTCTGAACCACTCATATTTCCATCCATCAGAGCTCTGCACAGAGCAGGTCAGTGTCACACTGCCCCCTACTGTTATGATTGTTGTTCCTGCTGTCAGTGTGGCCCTGGGTTGATCTGCAAGTAATTTACAGGAAAAAGTAGAATAGATTGTCACTTGTCTCAGGAAGAAATTTCTTACAGCACTGATCACACTTTAAATATTCACTTTTAGTAGAAATGACTAATTACTCTGCATGTGACATATTGGACTATGTTACAAAATCAAACTCGCTCTGATTTATTATTTATTGAAAGAGAAATATCGGATATAACAGCTTTAAATTTCTCATCATATCTGTTTCCCTTTTCATTAATATTTTAATAGTTTCAGTGCACTAAACAACAACCTTTATTTCTGTTGGAGTCTGGTGAGTGTTATCATGAATTTTCAATGTAAAATGTTATTTAGCAGTTGTTGCGCGTCTATGAATTATTTAAAATGGAAACATTAAATCAACGTAAATAACTTCCAGTCAGTTTCAATGTGGGAATTTTGCCACTGATGGCCGACCATAAGTGTTCAATGCAAAGTGGTTTATCTTCCTTTTCCCAAACAATTATTTTAAAAACGTTTTTGATAGTAGTTAAAAATAATAAAACACTACTATTAATAGTTCTATTTTAATATAGTACTATTAAAATAGTACTATTTAATAGTAGTACAATTACTTTATAAACTCTGATAAGGACAAATAGTCTGGGTACAAGAATGATAAACCTCTCCCACACTCCAAAAGAAATAAAAGATGCCAGTTAGTGCACTGTAACTATTGAAATATGGTTTTCTGATTTTCACTGATTCAAATAAAGTCTCCAATAATATGATCTTGGTGCACTTTCTCCTTCTCCCTTTCCCTTATCTGTCCTGCCTGGCCCCACATAGCAGACAGGCATCTGCAGCTGGCCCGTGGCTGCACAGAACTTACACAAATGCCCGGTGGGCCGATGATAGTTTTTCGTTTTTATGGGCCGATGTTTTTTTGTTGTTGTCTTTTTTTTCCATAACGGTGTAAACAGTGAAAGGTGGCGGATTGGACAGATGCTGGCAGATGTGTAAAAATAATTCAATTGTTTGGTAGTGGCTACGGTGAAGCTTTCACAGATTCAGTAAAATTAGGTGTTGGAGGTCAGCAGGTGGATGAGGGAAAGGGGAGGCGGAGGGGCAGAGACCCTAGGCGGCCGAGTGTCAGGTGAACTGAGCTTCAGGTAATAAGTTATGACCTGCAGTCTATCTGGGTCAGCTATAAACCAAGTTTAGGTGGAGTTTATTTTCGTTATGCTGACTTTTTACCGTCAGTTACAATAACTCGTACTGCGTGCTAGCTAGCATGACGGGCAGGTGCTATGATGTTACTGATAGTGAACTTTATTTTATTCATAAGGTTAGTTAGTAGTAGTGAAGGGTCCTGAAATACTGACGCACCGACGCATGTATCAAGCTCACAGAGCGATGCCTGTATCGGTGCGTGCGTCGCTTTAAGAAAAAGTCACGTGATCGATACAGCCGCTCTATCAATCATTGCCAACGCGCCAAACTGTGTTTAAAAGGTACCGCATCCGCATCTGCCAACGGAATGAGTCGCGACCAAAAAACCCCACAAAATTACTCTGGTAAAGATAAAAAAAAATAAAAAATACACATCTCTCCATAAAAAAATGGAGCCCGAAAGAAAAAGAAATGTTTCTGCTGTGTGGGTTCATTTTGATCTTTTAACTGCAAATAAGGTAATAGTTTGTCTGTCTTTGTTTCAGTGTAATCTATCAGAATAGGAAAAACAGCAATGTGACTTGAAGTGTAAATTATTTATTTCATTTTATGCAGGTTAAATGTCACATCTGTTCTGCGGAGCTTTCTTACACAAACAAAAGCACATCTTCAGTGTTTAGGCATTACAGAGCCAAACATGAAAATAAGACAAACACACCGAGAATGAACACAGGTCGGCCTATATAGACACTGAACAGCTTTATCATCATTTTTTTTATTAATATGTGTTTTATTATTTTTAAATCAAGCATCTAGGAAGACTGCTCTGGACCAGGCAGTCCTGAATTTTATTATAAAGGACTGCCAACCCCTTAGTAATGTGGAGAGTGTTGGGGAGAAAAATTCCAAGATCAGAGGATGCTTTAACGTACTGAGGGAATAGAAAGACATCTTATCCGAACCTTTTCCACCTGGCTTTACAGCTTTTGTGTACCCCAGCTTCATCTGTGCCTGTGAGTTTTCCAAAGCTGGGGAAATGGTGTAAAAAAATAAATGCAATAGACTGAATGCAAAAACTGTCACGGTCCGGGGCAGCGGCCGTGTGGAGAGTGGAAGGAGGACCCAAAACGCAGCACTTATTCAGATGTGAGGGTGATTTATTGTTAATAACAAACACAAAGTGGAGATGGCAAACAGAACTAAGGACGAAACTAAACTGGGATAAACTACACAGAGGAGTGGCAAACCTGAACATGAAGGGAGAACAGCAGGGAGAACACGCAGAGGATTACACCAGGTAGGAACACAGACGACGCGACGAGGAGCAGAGGAAATCACACGCTATAAATACACAAAGAGACACTGGGAAATCACACACAGATGGGGGAAACAGCTGGACCTGATTAACCTGACGAGACAGGGGAACACTAACACCAGGGACCAACAGAGGGAGCACAAACCCAGAACCCAGTGTCTAAAATCCCAAACACAAACCATCCCAAAACAGCCATGAATAATAATGAAAGTAATAACAATAAGTACATAAACATAAAGTCACTGAGTCATGGTCGCAGGACCATTACAAAAACATTGGACAAACCTATTTTTCTGAATAGAAATTTATAATAAACTGAGTCAAATGGGTAATATTACATTCACAATACTTTCATTTTAATGTTCACTTAATGTCAGAAGATGCATATTCTCTGTCATATGGACCTGCATGAATAAACTTTCTGAATCCTTTATCATCTGGAACCGAAAATAGTTGTGGATGATTACTATACCTTTCTAATGTGACGTTGTTGTCCCTGGCTCTTTCTCTCTCTCTCCCTCCTGCTCTGTTCCTGTGCTACTGAGTGTAACTACCGCCTCCCCAGCGTAAAGCACAAGGCTCGCGTGCAGAGTAAAGCGGAAAAAAAGTGCGAGAGAGAGAGAGGGTGAGAGAAAAAAAAACAAAAAAACCCACGTGACGGCTCGCATCGTTCACGTCAAAGAGCCGGCTCTAAGAGCCATTTCGTTCGCGAACGACCCATCACTAGAAGTCACTGTGCATTGGCCGGGAAACTGTCGACACAGTATCGATACAGTTCGGGAAATGTGCTGAAATGCTTCACGAGGCCTCATCTACCCATCACTAGTTAGTAGAGTTGCCAACTGTCCCATAAAAAACGGAATCCTCTGGTATTCAGAGAAAATTTTACACGTTTCGTATTGAGCTGAAAATAGACGCGATTTGTCCCGGACTTCAGCTAGAATGAAAAAAAAAGGACACAAAGCTGGAGTTATTCTGTGTCTTTGCCACACAGCTGCCTCTTCTCCTCTCATTCTCTCCCCCTCCCTCTCCTGTTTCTACTTCAATCACGAATCTGATCAATGATGAGCTGATCGGCGTTTCTGCCGCAAGTCCCGTCTCTCTTGCTTATCGCCCACTCTTGCTTTATCGCCCACTTTACGCCAGAAAGAGGAAACTAGCGGAGGTCGAGTTAAACAGCAGAAGCACGTTTAAGCTTGATCAGCTGTTGTTAGAATTTATTTAATATTACTTTCTAGTGTGTGAATGGGTGTGTAAAGCGCTTTCGGGTTCTCAGGGACTAGTAAAAGCGCTATACAAATACAGGTCATTTACCATTCTAGTATCAGCTGATGTTTGTTGGAGCCACAGCTGTAAAAGCTGCTGCTCATTGTTAGGTTTAGTCTGCAAAGACTTCGTGTGCATTCCAGAGTGCTCTGGCATTCACACCCACACCCTGGGAGCATGGGAGAGGTCATACCTTCTCTTATTGTTTTATGGTAGGATAAACATATCTATGTCAGTTTTACTCTAAGTGCCTTTTGTTTAGATGAACTGCTGGACTTCCAGACCAGGGAAGTCGTTTATGGGGTCATACTCTGACCCCCCCCCCCACACACACACACGCACACACACTTACACAGTATTCTTTGTCCACATGTGTACCTATATGAAACGTCATATGTTAATGAACCTATGCATATTAATGTAACCTCAATAAAAGAGCAGTGTTACGGGGGAGTGGATGAGAGTCTGACGGAGGTCAAGTGGGTGGAACGACACTTGGCTCCAGGCAGGCCTCCCTCATGCATGAGTAACACAAAGAACTTTGCCTACTTGCGTCTTGCTTTTGCTTTGTAGTAAATTGTTCTTAACGTTCCAGCGAATAGGTTTATGCTACAAACCTATCACTCATGATATCCGTTTGGATATGTGGCAAGAGGGAAACATGAATGTGAAACCAGGAGATGTCCTTACTGAATCGTCAGAGCTGAACAGGTGAAGGAGAAACATGTTTACTTTTTAGATGACAAGAAGGGTTGAAGGAAAGTTATGAACTGTTTCTGAGAGACAACTAACACCAGGATCCTTTTCTATGTAGCTGAAAGCTGGTAACTGTGCAGGGGCGGATCTAGCAAAGTTTTGCCAGGGGGCCAGGTTGGGCATTAACAAGAAAAGGAGGGCACAAAAAATACTTTTCTTTCTTATTCTCATTTAAAATTTCTAGCTTTTAACAAATAATTATCCAGATCTTACAACCAAAGTTTTCATCTGATGTCAAATGTATAGAAATCCATTATTGTACATAGTAATTTTTATTGAGGGTTCCATCATAATTTCTTCAGAAGTAAGTACTGTATATGATGCCAGTATTTTCCCACATTTTCTAGAAACTTCAATTAAGTTTTATTCTTTCTCACCTGTCTTTCTGTCTCCTTTCACTTTTTAAAGGTTGCCATGTGTAACAGAGTTAGAAAATAGCTTAATGAATTTCCTCAAAATTGATGTGCTTTGTGAATAGTTGGACAAATATCGCAACTGCAACTGTTAAGGTTTCAAATTGCTGCACAGTGCATGCCTCAGCAAAGGAAAATACTCCCAAGCTGGTGGTAGGTGCTTGTGAGCGATACTGTTGTCAGTTTTGTATGTGTATTAATGAAAACGTTCTTATAGTGGTAATTGTCAATGTGTATTTTGATTGTAAGCAGTACTTGCATGTAACCTGAAAGCTACAGGCATTTTGATGCATGGGTAGTAAATTTATTCACGAGTAGCATTTTTAGTTAGCATGCTAAGCTAGTACTCGTTAGCTTTTTGACTTACACTCAGCTTTAATGTTTCTCTATGAAATTGTCATTATTCTAATTCTTTTCAACAGAACTGAATGTTGAAGTTGCTTTGCACACTGTTAATGACGACTGTGTGCTGTTTTCTTTGTACCAGGTAGGCACTGTTAAGTATAAGTTTTAATTGATGCTGTTGTATAGGAAAAAAAATGATGACAATGATGATTGTTTTATAATAGAAAAGCTGTTTTTATATGTTATTGTTGTTGTTGTTGGTTAGGAAAAAGGAGATATAATGTCTCTTATCACTCATTTACCACAAGGAGAAAAATAAATAAATAATACTGCTACTATACAATCACAGGTTTGGTTTCAGCTAGAACTTTTAAAAGAAAGACTTTGTTGATGTGGTGTTCTTTAAATATATCTTGTTAAGTGTTATGTTTGGAAAGAAAAAGGAAAATACTCCCAAGCTGATGAACTGAATGTTGCAGTTGCTTTGCACACTGTTAATGACGACTGTGTGCTGTTTACTTTGTACCAGTTGCCAGAATAAAGAGGGAGCCCAGAGTAAGGGCAAGTCCAGCGTTGCAGTGCCGTCCTTTCTACATGGGCATATCACACCACTTGCACGATCGACTCACAGAACAGCAACAGCTACACATGTTAGACAAAATATTTTGCCCTGCCATGCTGTTTATTGATGTGGTAAATGAATAATTTATGAAAATATCACTAAGTCTGTCATTTATTATTTTTAATATTCAGTAATGATCATGTCTCACCTCTAGTCTTCTCTGGCTTAATTTTAGGTTTCCACCATGTGTTGTAGATAGTTCAGGAGGTTAACTCGACCAACTCTTTGGGTTTCGGCTAAGTACTGTTTAGAATACCAGAATAGGGAGGATGGTGTAGGTTTAAGTTTATTAGATTGATACATATGTACCAACAAGACAGTGTACATCACTGTGACAACAGCGTTTGTTTTCATTCAAAGGCTTTATGGTTTTTCCTATAATACCTGGTGGGCCAGTCTCTAGTCAAAATGCCGGAGCCGATTTTTTGTCCCAGTCCAGTGCTGCACATGGCCCACATACCGCAAAGAATGACGGCCCTTTGGTGGCCCAGAACAGGTTTGCCACTCTCGATAGAGGACATTGAGCGACATCTACCAATTCGGAACCACGATTATAGAGTTCTGGCTGATTGGAGCTGGCTCGGACCTGGAATTAGCGAAGAACAAGAAGTGGCTACAGCTATGGTAAATGGTAGATGGCCTGTATTTGTATAGCGCTTTACTAGTCCCTAAGGACCCCAAAGCGCTTTACACATCCAGTCACCCACCCATTCACACACACATTCACACACTGTTCACAGCTGTTCAAAATCCCACAAGGCTGGCTGACATGATGGGCAGGGCTGTGAGTACTGTGAGACTGTGTTTATTGAACACAATATGGATAAGATCTTGGAGAAGAAGAATGGGAATTGAGACACCTGGTGACCAGTGATGGTAGGACTGCACGATTTTGCATGAAATGAGAATCACGATTTTTTGGCTTAGAATTGAGATCACGATTCTCTCACGATTTTCTTTTCCAATATAAATATTTATTGCACTTATTAACTGCACATCAATTTCGTAACAGTTGAGACTGAACATAAAACAATAAATGAACATAAAATAAATGTCTCACATTTCGTTGTTGCCGCAAAATGTTGTAATGCTTGTAATTCCGCCTCCACAGTTGCTCGACACTGCGTGTATAGAGCAGGTAGTGCAACATTTGAAAAATAGCTGCGGGACGGCACTGTGTAGCGTTTGTCTAGGGTGTTGATCATTTTCCCAAATCCCTCGTTTTGCACAGTGTTGATGGGAGCCATATCTTTAGCCGGGTGATAAGTGATAGCCTCCGTAATTTCTTTGTGCCTGCGGGAGTTCAACGGGTATGGGGAAGCGCTGTATAAGGTTCCTGTTATTGATGTTTGGGTGGTTGACCGGGACGGATTTTCTCCTGTGACTTTCTTGGCCTTTCCAGCTTCGTGATCTCTCACGTGCTCTCCGTTGTTTTTACCCTGCCAGCTGGCTTCTGTATCACGTGGTATAAGGCTCCGCTCCTGTCATTTGTTGAGCAGGAAGAGTGAGCGCTTGTTGTCATGCAGAATATGTCCCGGATCAAAATGCGGTTATCGTCAATCGTCATCTTTTCTTTTCTTTTTTAAATCGTTGTCATTTGGAAATGAGATCGCACATAAGTATGAATTGAGATCGCGATTTTCTAACGATTAATTGTGCAGCCCTAAGTGATGGACATTAGACCAACTGTAAAATTGGATGCAGTTTGTTCGCACTAACCAAAACAACTATCACCTTCATCTCATGCGCCCCCCAGCGCAATTGGATGCTCAAGGCAAAAGCTGATGGGAATAACAAAAATTCTACTTAGATAACAAGACTGTTGTTGTGACTTTCTCCCCCCTCCTTGAACACTACCTACGTCGACACAAGATTGTTGACTTTTGCCTGACTGAGTGAAGGGACACTTTCTCTCGGCTGAATACGGAACACACACACATAAGCATGTACACTGACACAGACCTACACTCAACCCCACCCTCCAAACACCTTCAACCTTATGTCTTCTATGTTGTGAGATGTGATGATTCATATGCTTTGTGCTGAGGTGTTTTTTCTGTTCTCAACTGTTCTCCCTGTTGGAGCTCAGTCTGGGGGGAGTTCTTTTTTCTCCACGTCTATCACCATGTTGTGCATTTTCCATTGTTATACCTCTCTGACCTGTCTTCCCCGTGATGTTTGTGCAATGTATGTATGGTTGGAAGGGTGAGATGGCACTGGCAAGGCTGACAGCCTTAACCCAATTTCCCTTGGGATGAATAAAGTATTATCAATCAATATTACAGGCTGTGCTTGAGTTTTTAAATCAGCTGATGTAAATGTAAACATTAAAACATGAAATGTCAGCATGAATCATGGTCCAACTCACATGAAACTGTCAGTCTGAAGGCATCACTCCATCCTGTTAAGAGATAGTCACTGCTACCCCGACATCTGTAGTCTCCACTGTGGGACACTGAACTCTGCTGATCCTGTATTCACTGGATGTTGGAGGGCTGTTTGTGTTGGGTGCTGTCCATTCATATTTCCACACCTTTCCTTCACCTCCCTGAATCTCACATCTGAGAGTGATTGTCTCACCAGTGAATATCTGAGACCAGCTGTGATACAGGGTCACTGCGATCCTGTTACGAACTAACAAAGAAAAACATGCAGCAGCAGGTTTTTATCATAATTATTTGAATGCTGATTTGTTTGCAGGAATGTTTAAAAGCAACTAAAATATTATATAGTATTTGCATAATATAATATAATATAATATTATATAATGATTCATTCAGTGTGCAGACACTCAGCCGTTTGACCCAAGTACTTAAACATTTTGATAGACCTCTGTAGCTGACTCTGCTTTGGTTCCCTCGCAAAATGAATGAAAAAAAGAAAGTTTCTTTTAAATCCAACCTAAAATCTTAATTGTAATTTTACTTTTCTGTTCAGATCAATAACTTTTGACATAATTTCTCCAGTGATTAGACTGCATGACACATGATTTAATAATTTTCAATAACAAGCACTCACATTTTGGTAATCACATTTTTCAAACACTGTAATATTAATTAGAAGAAGAAGAAGAAGAATGAACTCCTTACTCTATGCCTGCGCAGACATTGTTGTTTTGTTCCAAATTAAAATTTTAAACTCACCAGTTCGCTGAAGTATGATGTCATTGCTGTCGTCTGTGGAGAAAACTGGATCTCCTCTCCCACCTCTGCAGTAATAGATGCCTCCTTCTGAAATACTGATCGTGTGCTCTGATGTTCCAGCTCCTATTTTCTGAGCTCCAGAAAACTCTGAATCACGTCTGAACCAGTCAAACTTCCAGCCAGCAGAGCCCTCCACAGAGCAGCTCAGTGTCACACTGCCCCTGCTGGTATGACTGGACTGTGTGCTGTCAGTGTGGCTCTGGGTTTACTTACTGTTGAGTTTAGAGTAAAAGTAAAACATTAGATCATCACTTTTTTCACGAAGAAAATTTCTTATAGTAGTGATTAAACTTTAAACACTCGCTGAGTAATTTATCAGGACTAATTACTCCTGTGGTTTATTATTCGTTGACCGAAAGACAAATATCAAATAAAACAGTTTTGAATACTGCATCATCTCAGTTTCCTTTTGATTCATATTTAATCATCACAATGCACAGAATTGCTTCTTTTCTTTCTGCTGGCGTGGGAGAGTGTCATTATTCTTACACCCAGACTATTTGTCCTCATCAGAGTTTATAAAGTCATTTTACTACAACAACTATTAAAAACTAAATACCCTGTGATTGTTTGGGAATGGAAGATAACAAGCCTTGCACTAAACACCGATTGTCAGTCATCAGCAGTGCTGGGACTAACGCGTTATTAAGTAACGCGTTACAGTAACTACGTTATTATTGTGGTAACGAGCACGGTAACTAGTTATTATGCCAAAATCAGGAACGCGTTACTCGTTACTGGGATTTAGATAGGCTCGTTATTCGTTACTTCGTGTGGTGGCTATCGCGGAGCTTCCACAGATTCAATAACATTAGCAAGTGGTGGAAGCCAGCAGGTGGATGAAGGAAAAGGGAGGCAAGAGGAGAGACCTGAAGCGGCCGCTGGTTCGAGAGTGTCAGGTGAACTGAACTTCAGGTAAGAAGTTATAACCTGCAGTCCATCTGGGTCAGATATGAACCAAGTTTAGATGGAGTTTATTTTCGTTATGCTGACTTTTTCGTAATGCATGCTAGCTAGCATGACGGAGTTTCTATACAGCTGGGTGGGTGCTATGTTACTGATGTTGAACTTTACTTTGTTCATAAGGTTAATTATTAGAGTTGCCAACCGTAAAAAACGGAATCATCTCGTATTCAGAGAAAATATTACACGTTTCGTATTGAGGTGAAAGGAACACAGTTTGTCCTGGACTTCAGCTAGAATGGAAAAAGACACAAAGCTGGAGTTTTTCTGCGTCTTTACGCTGCACAGCTGCCTCTTCTTCTCTCATTTTCTCACCCTCCCTCTCCTGTTTCTACTTCAATCATGAAACTGATCAATGATCAGCTGATCGGCTTTTCTCTCTTGTTTATTTGTCGCCCACTTTGCGCCAGAAACAGGAAACCAGCGGATGTAAACAACAGCAGCACTTTTAAGCTTGATCAGCTGTTGTTAGAATTTATTTAATATTAATTTCTAGTATCAGCTGATGTTTGCTGGAGCCACAGCTGTAAAGCTGCTGGTCATGATATGGTTCTGAATCATCAGAGCTGAACAGGTGATGGAGAAACAGGTTTACCTTTTAGGTGACATGAATGAGTTGAAGGGAAGTTATGAACTGTTTCTGAGAGACAAATAACACCAGGATCCTTTTCTAAGTAGCTGACAGCTGGTAACTGTGCAGGGGCGGATCTAGCAAAGTGTTGCCAGGGGTCCATGTAGGGCATTAAAAGGGAAAGGGGGGCACAAGGAAATACTTTCTTATTCTCATTTAAAATGTCTCACTTTTAAAAAAATAATTATCTGAGTCTTACAACAAACAATTGATAGATTGATGCATATATACCATCAGAACAGTGTACATCACTGTCATAACAGTGTTTGTTTTCATTCAAAGGCTTTATGATTTTTCCTATAATGGTGGGCCGGTCTCTAGTCAAAATGCCCAGGATGATTTTTTTGTCCCAGTCCAGCCCTGTATGCAGCTCATCTGCAGTCTGGTGTTACCTACATCTTCCCATTCGGAAGGCAGAATTTCCGAGTTCTGAGTACAATCGAAAGCACCACGACTGCAGTTTTTGTGTTGGATGTAAAAAGCAGGCTAGGATAGAATCAGGTGTGGGATTTCTCTCGTGGAAATGTGCACATTATCTTTTCCTTTCTATTGGTAGGTGGCACAGTGCACTTGTGGCAAGTAAGCAAGCTAGAAGACTGGCACTCTTGCTGGGTATCCAGTTATGGAAGCAACACATTAACAAGAGAATTCTGAGTAAAACCAAAGTTACTCTCCCTAGTAACTAGTTACTCTGAAAGTAACGATTAACTTGAAGTAACTGAGTTACTTTTGATAGAAGTAACTAGTAATGTAACTAAGTTACTAATTTAAAGTAACTTACCCAACACTGGTCATCAGTGACAAAGAAGGTATTTACAGTGATTTAATGTTTCCATTTTAAATAATTCATAGACTTGCAACAACGACCAAATAACATTTTACATTGAAAACTCATCACCTTCATCTATCTGTACCAACTTTTATAAATAAATAAATAAATATATAGGTGAAGATCTGAGATAATCTGACTTCTCCTTAAATTACAGATTGGTTTTCTTTTCCTTTTCCAGATGTTTCATTGTAAGTGTTGTTGTTTTTGGAACCACATTCAAAGCTATTTGTAAGCTAAAAAACAAAACAAAAGCTGCAGTATTGTTGAAAGACAAAGGATATTATCACAATACACTTCACAGATTCATTTGTTATGAATTCATATGTGTTCAACTTACATGATACAGTCAGTGTGATGATATCACTCCACTCTGAGAAGAAATAGTCCCTTCTGCCCCGGCAGCTGTATCCTCCACTGTCAGACTCAGTAGCTCTGATGATTCTGTATTCATTGGATGTTGGAGGTGTGTTTAACTTGGCTGCTCTCCATTCATACGTCCACTGAGCTCCTTCACCTCCCTGAATCTCACATCTGACAGTGACTGTCTCACCGCTGTATATCTGAGTCCAGGATGGCTGCAGGGTCACAGTGGGCTTACTGGGAACTGTTCACAGAAAAATATCCATTGACAAGAATCAAAGTCAAGAGAAGTGCATCATGATTTCTGTTTCATATAATAATAAGAGCACTCGGAGATCACAGCTCCCTCTGAAGGGCAAGAGTTGTACTAAAACTTTAACGTTTTATGCTGATGTCAGCATTAGTAATATGGAAATATAGTGTAGCATATAAATATATTGTTGTGCCATTGTGACGTCATATTATGTTGTATTGAAAAAGAAAAGTGGGACCCTGACCTTTGACCTTGATGCATTATACAGAAAATTGTGTATTATTCTTTACCCAAATAACTGCAGCAGAATTGGCTGAAGTCTGTGGCTTCTGTAAAAACTTGAGATTTAAAGATATATTCATGCAGCATGTGAAGCTGCAAAAATGTATGGGGTGGTAACAGGGTGTTGTATTAAAAAAAAATATAGTGTGTTGTACAGCTGTCTCAATGCCGTTTCATATTATATGTTACTAAAAATGGTTTCTAGATTATTTTTTATTTATATATTAAGGACAACTTTGACATTGGGCCCAAAAATGAATTTCAAACTCAAGTGCTTAGCCAACCTATGTCCCACAACGCCAATACATTGTTGTGAAATTTGAAGACGATCCACAAAATTTTACTTTCACATTAAAGAAAAACAAAGTGTTCATTTAACAGATGCAGAAACAAAGAGGGTGATCTTTCAGTCATTGAAATAATAGAGGGAACTCACGAGTTTGCTGAACTGCGACGTCACTGCTGTCCTCTGTGTAGTAAACTGGATCTCCTCTCCCTCCTCTGCAGTGGTACAGACCTCCTTGTGAGACACTAATAACTCTGTTTGCTTCATTTCCTCTCATGAGCTGAGCTTTAGAAGAGACTGGATCACGTCTGGACCAGTCAAACTTCCAGCCAGCAGAGCCCTCCACAGAGCAGCTCAGTGTCACACTGCCCCCTGCTGGTATGACTGAACTTTGTACTGTCAGTGTGGCTCTGGGTTTATTTGCTGTTGAAGAAACAAAACCATTAAAAAAATTAAATCATCAACATGAATACATTTCTTACAGCACTAATCACACATTAAACATTCACAGAGTAATTTATCTACGAACACAAAAATTATGAATTTCCCCGCATGTGACACATTAGACTGTTTAACAAACTAAAGATTTCACTGATTTATCATCCTCTTATCAAACTGTCATCTCTGTACATTCCTCTTTAAATTGCTGATATTTTAAGAGCCTCCATGGTGTCTCTCTTTTCTGTTTGCACAGTGAGAAAAACTGTTGTCCTGAGCTGCCTGCAGACAGCTGGATCATTGTTGGAGTTTTCCTGTTAAGACAGATGTAAACATGAAAACATTAAATGTCAGCATGAATCATGGTCCAACTCACATGAAACTGTCAGTCTGATTGCATCACTCCATCCTGTTAAGAGATAGTCACTGCTACCCCGACATCTGTAGTCTCCACTGTGGGACACTGAAACTCTGCTGATCCTGTATTCACTGGATGTTGGAGGGCTGTTTGTGTTGGGTGCTGTCCATTCATATTTCCACACCTTTCCTTCACCTCCCTGAATCTCACATCTGAGAGTGATTGTGTCACCATTGAACACTTGAGACCAGCTGTGCTGCAGCGTCACTGTGATCCTGTTACTAACTGAAAAAGAAAACCATCACTCTTTTCAGTAGCAGGTGAACAAATGTTCTTTTTTGTTTGCAGGAATCTAAGATAACTCAAATATCAATATAATATAACAGTCTTGAATCTGTGTTGGTGTCTCAGCCAACTGATTGAAAATTAAAAGAGTTTTAATATTTAAACTTGGGATCTTAAAAACAGATGTGGCTATCTGCAATTAGTATGTTTTATATTTGCTTTCATATTGAGATGAAGAACATTAGTAATCATTTACCCACTGATTACACTTCTTGAGACATGATTTAGAAATGGTTAATAAATACGCCACACACTGCTGTTACATGTGTAAATGTGTAAAAAAGAATTTGTTATTTTATTCTGTTTAAATATTCAAACTCACCAGTTTCCTGAATGGTGACTGAGTCACTTTCTGTTATGATGACATTTCCCCCTGCAGGTTTGCAGGTGTAGTTTCCTCCTTTCAAGACAGAGATAACTCTCTCTGAAACATTAGACATTGCTGACGGTTTTTCGGATGAGGTTTCTCTGAACCACTCATATTTTAAGTTGGCAGAGTTCTTCACGTCACAGGTCAGTGTCACACTGCCCCCTGTTGGTATGGTTCTGTTGTTTGCTATCACAACAGCCTTGTCATGTTCTGTAAGTTAGAAATACAACAAAAGGAGAAAATTGTTCCTAGTGTAACAATTGGGTTGAAACTGTGTGTGTGTGTGTGTGTGTGTGTGTGTGTGTGTGTGTGTGTGTGTGTTTCACCTGATGGAATTTGAATATGCTACTGCTGTGATGGAGATGTTTATTTTTATTGCTTTTCATAAAGGGAATATATTTAATTGTTTAGGACATTTTTGTCTTAAGTGTGAGCTATAGCTCAGCTTGGTTTGCGTGTAAGAAGTTATTGCTGTACCATTGTATTTTTTATGTTTGTAAAGATGTTTCAGTAAAATGTTTTCTTGTGTGTATGAGAGGTCATGTGTGTTCACACACACCATAAAATACATTTGTGAAGATAATTTATATTGGAATATGGGTTAGTACATGATTGAATATACAAAATAAGTTAAGTAGTCATAATTTATGGTTGCAATACTGTAACCATTGCAAAACAGAAATGGTAATTAATTAGTTTAAAATGTTTCATATAGCTAAAGTAGAAAGGGTTAATACTATTTCTTGTTTGAAATAGTATTAACCCATGGTGTTTAATCCTTGTTGAGTGGATTCTGCTGGATCACTAATTTTATTTGTAAAGGTGATGAAACAAATGCACAGAAAGATACACATTTGTATCAGTTAATCACACTCTTTGGCTCTTACCTGGCATTTCCAAGACTGAAATGTGTTAGGAAATTTTAAATATATTTTACATTTGCTAGTTCAGCTCCCTAAGCCCCATCCATCCTCCAGTACAGGTACAGCTTCAGATGTGCTGGGGCCACTGGAGTTTCAGCCCCAAATACTGGGAACCTGTATCTCCACACTGCCACATGACAGATTCAGGTGTATCTGATTCTCTCTGGCTCTCACTGAGCCTTATCTCTGTTTTCCTGGATATTCTTCTATCATCATGTGCTGGGCAGCGCTCGCTCCTGCTTCCTGTTAGTCAACTGAAAGCAATTCTAACTCACCCTGTTCCTGGCTTTGTTCACCAAATCAGAAAGCTGGTTCTCTCCTGATGGATAATCAGCCCCCTACATTTACCATAGACACCTGTTTCTCTCAGCTACTGATGTCTGTGAAAGTAAACTCCTGATAAGTTTGTCAGTTCTTGTCTGTGTCTGGATTTTGATTCAGCCGTGACAACACATAAACAGAAAGATACAGGAGATACATCAATGCTGTTCATACTTTGTAAACAGGAAGAAAAAAAACTGTCGTACCTTCAGCATTTACATCGAAAAGTGTACTGAGCACTGAAATCAAGATTGAAACATCATCAAAACAGCAGCAAATCAACTCACTATGAACTAAAACATTTTTTAACCTCCTAGGACCTGGCGTCCACAAAATGTGATGGGTTATTTGGCCAAAATACTCAATTTTGCTCTTCAAGGGCCTGATATTCACTTACGATATTATACTGCTACTGTTCTATCAACATTTTAAACGAATATCCTCATAAGTGGCTCTTATTTTTATTAAAAACAAAAATAAGTTAAAAAAAATCTGGTAATTCTTTGTTTTTACATTCATCTGGCCCCAATGTAACCAAATATCAAAGAGAACTTTAAAATGCATGCTGTGGAAGAGTTCGGGTCTTAGGAGGTTAAAGTAAATTTTCAGATCAGAGACTCATCCTCAAATTTCTTTGCTTATATGCTCTAAACTAGTAATGTAAAACAGCAGTGTTTCCAACGCAATACCCTGATTTAAATGGACACAAGGTAATACCATTCGAATTCTCAGAGACTTGTTAACCACCTCATACACTTTAATTTACACCAATATAGTTTCTTAAATTGGTCACAAGAGAAAGTCAGTGATGTACTTACAGAATAACTCCAGCATGCAGAGCAAAGAGCGCTTCATCCTCACATCCAGCTCTGCAGCTCTCTGATGCACAGCTAAGCTTTCAGTGTTTTACTTTCACAAATAAGCAGAAGAGAATGAGACCGTAACTTCTTCTTCTCAGTGCTTCCATGCTTCCTTCCCTTTTACTCTGAGCTCAACCATCTGCTATAACTTCAACCGCATCAGTGTTTACGTTTCCTGTCCATTCAGAACATTCAAGCTTGTTCTCAGTGTTGTTCTCTTTCTCTGCATTATAAAATAACGGTTCTGTTACTTCAAGTCAGGCAAAGCTTTCTTTTAGGTTTAGTTTTACTTCTGTCTTCTTTAGAAACTCACTTTTTTCCCATACAAAAAAAGTCATACAACCCCATACATTTGGATTGCTATAATTATATAAGACTGTAAGTGGCCGGATGGCAGCATATCATTTATTTCTGCCAGTCCTGAGCAGGTTCATGCAAAACATGCTGGGCCATAGTTAAGGTGAACAAACTTGCTTTGACATAATTAGACCAAAGAATATGCCTATAACAGGGAACAAGGTTAAGATACTCCCTTTTAAGTTGCAGGAAAAAAATAGACTTTTAGCTTGTTTTTTGGACTATTACAATGGAAAACATCCTTTCACTTCTGCTTTGATATGTAAATGTTTTCATCTTGTGGTTGAATTTTGGTTAGAAGGTGGTTGTGACCGGATTATTTATGTGGCTGAACTGATGGAAATGAGATGCAGTTTTTACAAACCAGAGGAATAAATGAACCAACGCACAAATTCATTTTCTTGCTTGCTAAATTGCAACGGTACAGATGCACACAGACCTTATTTGGTGGGTAAATGTGCCAAATAAAATACCAAAACACACTAATCAATATCTTTGTGCCAAAAACTATATATTTCTTAACTGAAAACAAAGCATGGCACTCAGTAAAGTAAGCCATTGCCATGCTTCTTTGCTATTCTACCATGTACCATGTGTTCACGTGTTCCTTGTTTGCACTTCTAAGGTAGTTTCTAGTACCAGGTTCTCGACTCTAAAGCAGCCACCAAAAATCAGGATCTTATAGATCCAACACTATTAAAAGATTTGAACTTTATTAACAATTTATTGAATAGTATGTTTTTGAATTTTATAGCAGTACTAACTTTAAAAGTTGAAATCATATTGAGAAATACACAAAGCAAAAACCATGTATTGCCTCATTATGCTAAACGGTTGACTGAATTTTCTGTTCCCCTTTACACAAAAAAAGATGTGATATGTCAGGGATAAGATGCCACCATATACTCACTAGAGGTTATGTGCGAGCAGACGACAAATGTGTTTAGTGCATGTGCAATCAGTTTTTATTTTGAATTATATAGCAGACATTATTGGCATTATTTGGGGCGACCGTGGCTCAGGTTCAAGGTTGCCGGTTCGATCCCCGGGCTCTCTGTCCTAGTCGTTGTGTCCTTGGGCAAGACACTTTACCCTACTGCCTACTGGTGTTGGCCAGAGGGGCTGATGGCGCGATATGGCAGCCTCGCTTCTGTCAGTCTGCCCCAGGGCAGCTACAACCGTAGCTTGCCTCCACCAGTGTGTGAATGCGAGAGTGAATGAATAGTAGCATTGTAAAGCGCTTTGGGTGCCTTGAAAAGTGCTATGTAAATCCAATCCATTATTATTATTATTATTATATATAGTAACTAAAGCACATCATTTGCAAAATAAAACAGAAAAAAGGGAGTGGCTAGTCAGTAATTAATGTCTGCAGCAATGTGATGACAGATGAGAGTGGAGTTTTAAAAACGTGGTATCTTGAGTTCTGCCTATGATCTATCTCTGCTATCAGCTGTCAGGGCTCAATCGTGTTCTTTGGAAGGCTGTACAAATTCAGCTCAAACTGTTCTTCCTCTTTTTGGTTTAGTAGGCCTGAGAAAAAATGATAAAGTCACTGTGTTTTTTACTTAGCAGATACACAATACACAATTACTTTAAGTTGCACTTGAATTTATTTTCACAGGCATAATAACTCTGTGAAAGGCCTGTACCAAATAAGCACATTCATTTATAAAATTCCTCAGCCAACAATTATGTTCAGTGGAATAAGTGGTAGCAAAGTTTCAGTCCGTGGTGGTTGGGTGTGGTTTGTGGTTCAGCTGCAGGGAAGGGGTGGTGCAGTGGGTTCAGGGGGAATGCCAGAGGAGGCTGACCAGCACAACTGCTAGGCATCCACTAATATTCTATCCTGTTTTACACAGTAGCAGGCCTGGAACTGATATGTGTGTGATTTCTGGAAGGAAACTGTCTGAGACTGTATGTGTGTGCAGTGGGAGATGTGCTACAAACAGATTGGACCTGATTAAAATCACAAGCAAAATAAAGCTTACTTACCACAGCAGTGATTCATCACTCACTATAGCAGCTTAAATAAACTCAGAACTTTCTACTAACCACACACAGAGCCAGGCTGATGTGTGAGCTACGGCTGATAAAAGACAGAGTACATGCTTACTGTATTGCTATGATGGTTTCTAGAGCATGTATGACTTTTGTTGCCATGGAAACCCTGGCAACCCTGCCAACAAGAGAGGGAGACTGACCGAGGTGATAACTAAGTAAGAATAGATTAATGGCAATATAAATAAAGAAAACATGTTTGCCAGCAGGTGAGTAGTGTAAAGCATGCATGTATGTGTGGCAGAGTGTAAAAATAGCAAAATAACTCATGAAATCATGCTGCGGATAAGCAAGATCAAGTCAGGATGCTGATGCCAAAGTCAGGACAGAGAGAAGCCTTCATAGCCAAGCTCACTGGGTCCAGGTGCAGCTCATGCAGGTAGTTAGCCTCCAGCAGAACAAAGCACAATACAAACAACATAAATCTAAGACTGAGGGCACAAAAGGCCAAGGGGTCATCACACTTCTAAGGCATGTGCTAAATTTAAGTGAATAAGGAGATTCAGTTTTACAGACTCATCTGCAAAAAAAAAAAAGGAATGCTGCATGGAATGTAAATTCAAAAAAAGAGAGAATTGTGATTTGAAAATCTTATAAATCCATATATTATTTACAAACAAGCATGCTTAAATGTTTAGTTGTTTAAAGTGATATATTTCATTTAATTTTACTATGTTGTTCAAATATTTGTTATGATCTCTATGTTTTGGACGCAGGGTTTAGATTTTCATAGGATATTTAGGTTTGATTTAGTTTTGTATTTTCTATAATCTTTGTATAATGGTACTATGTTCTGCATGATAGATATATTGATAGTCTTTAGTTTATAATGATAGTTGTTGTTTTTTTTTTTTTTTTTGGGGGGGGGGGGGTTGCTTTCCTTATGAGTTTGTTATCAGTGCCTTTAGTTCCTTGACTTCTTTATTTAAATGATTGTTTATCCCCTTTAGTATTCCCATTCTGTCCCTCCAGTCTTGTCTCCTTGTTTGTTTATCTTCTGTCTCTATGCCAAGCTTGTATGTCTTTTTCTGGTCTCATCTTATCTTCCTGTCTTATTTTGATCTCTTGTGTCCATAGTGCTTTGTGTTTAGTTCTACGTCCCCATCTTGTCATCTGTGATTGGTTTTAGCTGTCCTCCCACCTGTCTTCCTTATCCTTTGCCATGTTCTCTTTTATGTTTGTGTCTATCCTTGTGTTTGTGTTTTGTTGCAAGAGGTGTAGTTTCAGATTATTTGGACCTGACCTGCTGTTTGTTGTATTTATTAAGGAGCTCAGCAGTAAAGCTGTTTTTGACTTTTACTTCTTGTCTCCTTAGATATGCATTAAGGGAGAATATTTAGAGAATATTTAAGTGGCAGAGTTTCACCAACTTGCAGAAAACTATATCTACAAAACGCAGAACCATTCCAGAATAATTTTTGTCAGCTTAAAATTGTGAAGACTGTGAATATATGATCATAAAAATACATAATGTCTAAATATTCACAAAGACTATAGAAACTGCATACAAGGACAAGGCTGAAATCTGGCATAGAAATCACTGTATGAGTGTTTTAACAGGAGATTTTCCAGGTTAAAAGTAGAGACACTTCATATCAGATAGACTCAGTTTGCTTTTCACTGTGGTGTTCTTTTTTGTCCTTTTCAAACACAAATTCAAAATGACTTAAGTGCTGTTCTTGCTGGCATAATAATAGCTGAGGTATCTGACACAACCTGCAATCCAGCTGCCAGCAAGTAAAGGAGGGACGGAAACATACAGATTTTCCAAATACTGATTTTTGCTGTTGGTGATGTTTGGGTTTGTTTGTTGGTAACAATAGAATAGGGGAAATACATTTAAATGTAACCTGCTGTTTATGGTATATTATTTGTTTTTTATATACTGCCTATACAAGTTTCAATAGCTATTCAGCAGGGTGGCTTTGACATATAAAGGTTTGAAAAAAAAACATGGGGAAAATATTGAAAAGACCAGATTTATTTTTATTTTTTTAAACAGACTCATACAGGCTGTTTCAGTGTGAGTAATTTCAGTTTCACAACATGTCACTTTTTTTGTTGGATTTTTTCCACCTTCCATGTCTCAACACGACAGTGACCACAATTATTTTTCATTGCTTTTCACAGTATCTTGCATACTTAAATGTAACAGTGATAATTATCAAAGAGAAATTTCCACTGTACTCTTTGTCTGAACTCCTTGTTTACTCTCTGCTATGTGCTGATACCATGAAAAAAGACATCTCATAAACAGAAGGCTTTTCGCTGAAACCGCATGCTTAGTTTCCCCATTTTGGGGAAATCATGAGGTTTTTCACTTGATAAAAATAAGGCAGAGGCAAAATAGAAAGTAGCCAATAAAAGTCTTTTACACCCAATAGAGTAGCAAATAAGAACATTTATTTCATTCACAATATATAAAATGACTCTAAAAAGAGCTAAAAGATAAATCCCTCTCAAATAGATATAATAAAAATAAGACAGGACAATAAAAATAACTAAAGTAAAATGGACAGAGCAAGCTTGAAGTCCAGCAGTATCCTGTTTTCATGGCAACAAAAGTCATGGCAAACAACTCTGACTTTAAGTTGCGCTATATAAGAAACTAAATATATGATCACATATTTCAAAGTATTTATTTATTTATTTTGCAGCTTTTGGAACAGGATAAATTCAAAGTTTTATACAAAACCTTTAACAATGAATATTTTTTTTTAAAGTGTGTTTTAAAAATATATAATCTTCATAAAAATGAGAGCATAGATTTAAATTAAAAAATATCAGAGGAGCAAGAGTGGGTTCAAAAAAAGCTTCTTCTTGGCTTTGCTGCTACAGCGCTCCTCACTGACCTGTAAGACAAGCACAAAGAGACAAAGTGATTTCCAACATGTAAAGATATTATGAGCTGAAGACATTTAATAATGTGAAGAATAAATCAGCCTGCATGGCAGCAGAATTACTGAGAGAACTTTCTGATGTGACTTCAGAATAAACTGCTGCATCAGCTGCAGGACTTGATGTTCCTGTGAATGAAGAGAAGATCATTGAAAACAATAATATCATTAACCAGGAGGAAACTGGATGTCTCCACTAATGCAAAGACAATTGAGTATGATAGATTTTAATCAGCTGATGGATTGTGAATACATAAATATAAACTGTAAAATAAACAGATTTACATTGTAAGAGCAGATAAACATGTTGAACAATATTCAGTGGAGATGATGGCAGACTTTGCTCACCTTTGTTTTTCTTGGCTTTTTCTTTTTTGGGCTGTTTGACCTCAGCATACATCAGACTGTCCTCTAAAAGAGACGTCAGAGCTCAGGACACATTTGTTCAGCACAGATATGATACAAACATGTTGGATACATATGGAATTTAAACTTTTTACAACTACAGTGAAAGAAATCTAAGTGAAATCATTTGTTGCCTGTGACACTTCAGCTTTGCATGTGTGTTTTGTGATTGAGGTCTGAGTCAGAATCTGTGGATGCTGTGATTCAGTAAAGCTGAAACACTGATCAGTAAGTGAATAACTAAACTCCATGTTGACCTATAATTACCTGCAATATAATGATGTGATGACACATTCAAGTACAAACACTGAATGACACTGTTGTGACTGTACCTGCAGCTCCCGTCTTCACCTCAGAGTAAAATAACACACTCCTTTGGTTTGTGATGCTTCCCTGTTAAGATGATCAGATTAATTCACAAAAGAAAATAATTAATACAATTTTTTCCCCCACACAATGTGTGCTTTGCATACTCCTCTTTTCAAAATCTTTAAGCTTAATGAGAGAATATGTGACATCTTGGGTTTCATCTGGAACTGCAATAAAAAAAAGAAAAGACAAAGAAAAAGTTAAATGTTTATAAACATATCACGAGATAGTCTTCTTAAATCTCACACCTTTTTCATATCTAGGTGTTGTGTGCTTTTCAAACTGGAGTACACCAATTTCACTGTATTCAACTTGTGTGAATACATAAAGATAACAGTAGTATTAGTATATGTGTGAATAATTAAAGTGTATGTAGTAAATAAACTCTCTAATACAGGATGAAAAGAAGAGGCTCTTACACTTGGACTGTCTGCAGCGATACAACAAGAGCAGGAGAATAATAATGAGAGAGACTCCACAAACCAGTCCAACCATCAACCACACAGGAGATGAAGAGCTGTCAGCTCCTGACACAGTTACTGTAACAACAAACAAAAATTAATTAATAAATTATAATCTTATGAATAAATACATTCATAAAATGGAGCCAAGTGACTTTGAGACTTAAATCAGACAATCTAACGTTCCTTCTCAGTCATTGGTTTATAAAAACTCAATCGCATGTTTTGATCCTGCTCACCTTTAACTGACATCCAGCTCTGTGCTGACTCTCTTCCTGAGTACTGACACTTGTAGAAACCTTCATCAGACTTTGACACTGCAGAGATCTTCAGCTCCCCTCTGGGATCATTTTCAATAAGTTTGTCATTGTGATAGAAAAACACATTGGAAAGTATTTTTTGTGTTCTCAAACTGCAGCTCAGACTAACAGAAGCTCCCTCAGTCACAGGATGAACAGGACTCACCAGGATAGGACCATTACCATCATCTGTGACACAATCACACACAATTGTTTCAGTCACATCAGCTGGTGCACACTATTAGAAAAAGCTGACAAACAATAACAAGAACAGATTGTACAAATGTTCATCATGAAGATCTGATCTTGTGTGTTTAAAAACTGCTGTATGTGTTTTATTTTTCCCACATGAAATGACTTCACATACAGCAAAGCTGGAACAAATGTTCATGTGACATTTAAATCATCCAAATCCAAGTAGTAAATGTATAATAACATACTCTGTACAGTGATGTTGACTGCACTGCTGAACTCTCCTGATCCAGACTCACACCAGTACACTGCAGTATCTGACTTTGATGTGTTGATGTCACATGTGGATCCAGTCATTCTGCTACAGTCAGAGAGTCGGCCGTCCTCAGAGAACTTCCTCACTCTCCACTCAGCGAACTTTCCCTCACAGGTCAGTGAGACAGAGTCAGAGGTGAAGTGTTGCACTCTGTCAGGACTCACTGTGAGAGACGCTGCTGAATGAACATCTGGAAATGACATGCAGTGAAGAGACAAAGCTCACAGATGTTAGGAACAAAAAATGTCAAATTAGTATTAGAAAAAAATAATGAGCTGAACCTTGGTGGATTACAGTGATGATACAACTTATTAGACAGAATCAAACTGACCTGCAGACCAGACAAACTTTGGTTGACTGTGATCAGTGTGATACTCTGGGTCTCCTCTTCCAGCTCTGCACACATATCCTGCTGTGTGTATCTGTCCATGAATGATGTAGGAGTCCTGTGCAGTCCCACTGCCATCAGGTAGCAGCTCATAACTGGAGGATTTCTCTGATAGATCAGGAACAGCTTTATACCAGTAGAAGCTCCATCCTGCAGACGGATGTTCAACCTCACAGTTCAGAGTTACTGAGGCTCCAGGACTCAGCCATGATGGAGACACAGTGAGGACAGATCCTGTTGGAAAGTAATGAATATTATTTCGTCAGGCTCACTCTCCATTTTTTCTCAATGCTTTTCTCAGTGTTTTTTTCCCCCAATACGTTTCCCTCTTTTATGTTCTGTTAATCTGTGATATTTATGTTTCATATTTGTATTCTTGTGAAAATTAATATATTTTACTTGACTAGAGAGCACTTTTAGTCAGTTCCCATGGACTCTACATTTTACATGACTGTTCATGTTCAACAATTTCCAATAAGAGCCGTTACCGTGAAATATAATTTTGTTTTTCCTTCATAGTAATCCTCAGTCATCAATCTATTTAACATTGTTGGTGAATACAAACTCACCAGTTTTCCTAATCCTGACTGACTGGCTGTCCTCTGTGTAGTAAACTGGGTTTCCTCTTCCTCCTCTGCACCTGTAGAGTCCTTCCTGTGAGACACTGATTTGTCCATTTGAGTGGAAAACTGCATCTTGTGTGGTCAGGGCTTCAGAGGATTTCTCATCTCTGTACCAGTAGTATTTCCATCCAGATGATGATGATGGGTTCACAGAGCAGGTCAGGGTCACACTGCCCCCTACTGGTATGATTGAACTTTGTGCTGTCAGTTTGGCTTTGGCTTTACTTGCTGTTGAGGTGACAGGAAAAAGTACATCAGTACATCACAAAATACAAATGTTGCACAAACAAATTGCTTTTAGATATTTTGTGTCCTGTGTTGGATTTTTCCTGCCTTGTGAATAGCATCTGATGCAGACCCATGTATTTATTTATATATTTGTATAATAATAATAATAATAATAATAATAATAATAATAAGAAGAAGAAGAAGAAGAAGAAGAAGAAGAAGAAAGTTACCATTAATAGTCAGAGTTCACAGATAGTAACTTTCACATTTAGCTCAAAAGTGCAGCTTTCCAAGTCTTAATGCAAATTTGCATCAGACAAACGTGTTAAAAGAAGGCCCTTTCCATTGTGATGCAGACCCAGTTTTCTGTTCCATTACAGAGCCTATAACACCTTCAGACAGATCTGGATCAGTGTCACAGTTATGTGGGTTGAGACACTGATATAGATGATTTTCAGTGAAAACATGTTCAGATTCTGAATAAATGTAAAAGCACTTAATAAGTACACAAAATGGCAAATTAATATTGAATTCTGATTTTCACGCTTTTAAAAACACAAACTACTGCAGATTAACTGGCTCCACTCTGAGGTTTGATTTTGTGAATGAGGAAATGAAACCCAGTGTTAGTCAGCTGGTTCAACTGGAGCAGAAGAGGATGAGTCAGGGAGAAACTCTGAGTTTGTTAAAGAAAACCTGTCAGAAGCCTGTTACCATGGTAACTTGGTAACCTAACTCAGAGTTAGGGTAAGTTAACTGTCTTTCTGGAACAGAAACCCAGGGTCTCACAGCTTACAGAGAATGTTGTTAGCACAGATCACATAATGATCCATTTCAGTTTAACAGAAAACTAAAAATTCAACTCAGGCCACTCTAGAAACAGAACAAACAGATTCAGGTCTTTCAGTTTGTTACTTTTGGAAATTACCGGTTTCAGTAATGGTGACTTCATTGCTCTCTTCTGTGTAGTAAACTGGATCTCCTCTCCCTCCTCTGCAGCGGTACAGACCTCCTTGTGAGACACTAATAACTCTGTTTGTTTCACCTTCTCTTATGAGCTGGATTTCAGAGGAGACTGAATCACTTCTGAACCAATAAACATTCCAGCCAGCAGAGCCCTCCACAGAGCAGTTTAGTGTCACACTGCCCCCTGCTGGTATGATTGAACTTTGTGCTGTCAGTGTGGCTCTGGGTTTACTTGCTGTTGAGGTTACAGGAAAAGAGAAATATCAGATTTTCACTCGCTTCAGGAAGAACTTTGTTATAGAAATAATAATAACAACTTATTTTTAAAAGTGCCTTTCAAACACCTAACGACACAACAATAGAATAAAACACGTAAGAGAACAATGACAAAACGAAGAACAACTTAGAGAGAGAGAGAGATTCCCACACCCTGGGAGCAGATCAACTGAAAGCTCTGGTTTCCATGGTGCTGAGATCAAAAGAAGGCACAACAAGTCGGATGTGAGCAGGCAGAAGAGGTGGTGCTTATCAGGTTAGAAAGTTATGGAGGAGCAAGGTTATGACAGGCCTTGAAGGTGAGCAGAAGAATTTTGTTTACTATCCGGACATAGGACATAGGACATAATCGGTTAATGTTGCATAGATGGAAGTAGGCAGAACAAGTGAGATTATTGATGTGAGATTTATAAGATAATAAACTGTCTAGGATGACACCAAGGCTCTTAACTTGAGGTGAAGGGAAAAATGTGGAGTCATCAATATTGAGTCAGAATAAGTGCGTCAGAGATGCCAAGAGAGGAAAGTCTGTTTAGAAGGATGGCGTGAGAGATAGTGTCGAAGGCTGAGCTCACATCCAAAAGGACAAGAATGTTGAGAAGACCATAGTCAGCTCTGAGTATTCTGAGAAAAGATCACACTTTACACATTCACTCAGTCATTTAGCTTCTAGCACCAAATAGAAAATATTTACTTGCATGTGACACATGTCTTCATGCAAAAACTACAGATGCCCTCTGATTTATTCTTCATCTATTCAAAGACAAATGTTACACAAACAAATTACTTTTAGATGTTTTGTGTCCTCTCTACATTTTCCTTTAATAACACTCAAACGTAACATGACACTGAATGGTGTCTGTTATTCCTGTGGGGGCTGCATCATATTTGCACAGAGCCTACTCTCCCTTTGCCTTTGTCATATGGAAATGACAGTAACATCACATAAAATACAAAAACAGTATTTCACACACTGTTTGAAAACAGGGAGATTCAGAACACTGTAGGTACTATTTCTGTTATTGGTAGAGCATGTGACCATCAGTGTTGCTGCTCTATCCAACAGGTGTACTACAAGCTGACATTGGTGGATTAGAAAGCAATGTTGATCTTTAAAGTCAGTTTTCTGTGTCATCAGATTAGTTAGACTTTCTATTATTCTAGGGTCTTTACCTTACTAACTGTTAACTGAACTGAATTGATTTAAGTGGTCTATGAATAGACGAAGAATAAATTAGAGGGGATCTGTAGTGTAGTTTTGTATGAAGACACTCAGTCTAATGTGCCAGAAGCACCAAATAAATCACTGAGTGAATGTGTAATAATTTCTATAACAAAATTCTTCTTACAGCAAATGTTCACATAAAAATATTCAGTTACAAATCCAAATAGAAGCATAAAAACTTTGTTGCTTGTATTTATTTATCTGTGTGTTATGTGTTTTATTTATTTCCCCACAACTAAAGAAAATACCGAAACAACACTGCACAGAAAAGTTAAATATGTAATATTTATGAGCCTGTTCAAAAGGGAATTTAATTGGTTCTGGACGTTTAAAGTGTTCCAACATTTTAACATAATGAAAATTTGTATTTAATATTATTTGTTATCTGTCCATCTTATGTATAGTCTTTTTTCCCGACAATTTTGGCAACTGCACCAGATTTTAGTATTTTAAAATGTTATATAAACTGTATAAAAATGTGTTAAGAAATCATTTAGAGTGGTACAGGGGGTGTGAATCTGGAAAGCAATATCATGCATATTCTATAAATGCAAAGCAAAGAAAAATAAATTTCTCACCATCAGCATTTATGTAGAAGAGTGTACTGAGCACTAAAATAAAGATTGAAACATCAGAATCAAACTGTTAGAAAATCAAACAAGACAAGCAATAAAAACAACCATGTATCCAACATAATGCTCCAGATTAAACTGAGCAAAGGCACCAGCAACATTTTGCTTTAAGAATCATAAAATTAAACCGTTTTAACCAGTTATAGACTATAATGCTCACAGATTAGAAGCTTTTTTTTTATTAACTAG